CTACCAGCAACATACAACCTACCAACACCACTCAACCTACCAGCACCAACCAACCTACCAACACCAACCAACCTACCAGCACCAACCAACCTACCAGCACCAACCTACCAACACCAATCAGCCTACCAGCATCATACAACCTACCAGCACCAATCAACCTACCAGCACCAACCAACCTACCAACACCAATCAACCTACCAGCACCAGCCAACCTACCAACACCAACCAACCTACCAGCACAAATCAGCCTACCAACACGCACCAGCCAACCTACCAGCAACATACAACCTACCAACATCACTCAACCTACCAGCACCAACCAACCTACCAACACCAACCAACCTACCAGCACCAACCAACCTACCAGCACCAACCTACCAACACCAATCAGCCTACCAGCATCATACAACCTACCAGCACCAATCAACCTACCAGCACCAACCAACCTACCAACACCAATCAACCTACCAGCACCAGCCAACCTACCAACACCAACCAACCTACCAGCACAAATCAGCCTACCAACACGCACCAGCCTACCAGCACCAACCAACCTACCAGCACCAACCAACCTACCAGCACCAACCAACCTACCAGCAACATACAACCTACCAACACCACTCAACCTACCAGCACCAGCCAACCTACCAGCAACATACAACCTACCAGCATCATACAACCTACCAGCACCAATCAACCTACCAGCACCAACCAACCTATCAGCACCAACCAACCTACCAACACCAATCAACCTACCAGCACCAACCAACCTACAAACACCAATCAACCTACCAGCACCAACCAACCTACCAGCACCAACCTACCAACACCAATCAGCCTACCAGCACCATACAACCTACCAGCACCAATCAACCTACCAGCACCAACCTACCAACACCAATCAGCCTACCAGCATCATACAACCTACCAGCACCAATCAACCTACCAACACCAATCAACCTACCTACACCAATCAACCTACCAGCACCAACCAACCTACCAGCACCAACCAACCTACCAGCACCAACCTACCAACACCAATCAACCTACAGCACCAACCAACCTACCAGCACCAACCAACCTACCAACACCAATCAACCTACCAGCACCAACCAACCTACCAGCACCAACCAACCTACCAACACCAATCTACCTACCAGCACCAGCCAACCTACCAACACGCACCAGCCAACCTACCAACAACATACAACCTACCAACACCACTCAACCTACCAGCACCAACCAACCTACCAACACCAACCAACCTACCAGCACCAACCAACCTACCAGCACCAACCTACCAACACCAATCAGCCTACCAGCATCATACAACCTACCAGCACCAATCAACCTACCAGCACCAACCAACCTACCAACACCAATCAACCTACCAGCACCAGCCAACCTACCAACACCAACCAACCTACCAGCACAAATCAGCCTACCAACACGCACCAGCCAACCTACCAGCAACATACAACCTACCAACATCACTCAACCTACCAGCACCAACCAACCTACCAACACCAACCAACCTACCAGCACCAACCAACCTACCAGCACCAACCTACCAACACCAATCAGCCTACCAGCATCATACAACCTACCAGCACCAATCAACCTACCAGCACCAACCAACCTACCAACACCAATCAACCTACCAGCACCAGCCAACCTACCAACACCAACCAACCTACCAGCACAAATCAGCCTACCAACACGCACCAGCCTACCAGCACCAACCAACCTACCAGCACCAACCAACCTACCAGCACCAACCAACCTACCAGCAACATACAACCTACCAACACCACTCAACCTACCAGCACCATACAACCTACCAGCACCATACAACCTACCAACACCAACCTACCAACACCAATCAACCTACCAGCACCATTCAACCTACCATCACCATACAACCTACCAGCACCATACAACCTACCAGCACCATACAACCTACCAACACCAACCTACCAACACCAATCAACCTACCAGCACCAATCAACCTACCAGCACCAACCAACCTACCAGCACCATACAACCTACCAACACCAATCAACCTACCAGCACTAATCAACCTACCAGCACCATACAACCTACTAGCACTAATCAACCTACCAGCACCAATCAACCTTACAGCACCATACAACCTACAAGCACCATAAAACCTACCAGCACCAACCTACCAGCACCAACCAACCTACCAGCACCAATCAACCTACCAGCACCACTCAACCCACCAGCACCATACAACTTACCAACACCAACCTACCAACACCAATCAACCTACCAGCACCAATCAACCTACCAGCACCAACCAACCTACCAGCACCATACAACCTACCAACACCAACCTACCAACACCAATCAACCTACCAGCACCAATCAACCTACCAGCACCAACCAACCTACCAACACCAACCAACCTACCAGCACCAACCAACCTACCAGCACCAACCTACCAACACCAATCAGCCTACCAGCATCATACAACCTACCAGCACCAATCAACCTACCAGCACCAACCAACCTACCAACACCAATCAACCTACCAGCACCAGCCAACCTACCAACACCAACCAACCTACCAGCACTAATCAACCTACCAGCACCATACAACCTACTAGCACTAATCAACCTACCAGCACCAATCAACCTTACAGCACCATACAACCTACCAGCACCAACCAACCTACCAGCACCATACAACCTACCAACACCAATCAACCTACCAATTTCAATCAGCCTACCAACACGCACCAGCCAACCTACCAGCACCATTCAACCTACCAGCACCATCCAACCTACCAGCACCAATTCTCCCAGACAAAGCAGCGATTTCCTCCAGCACAATTCCACTAACCCCCCTCCCCCCCCCCTCCCCCCACACACACAACCACCCCTGAAAAAGCCAGAACAATTTACCAGCACAATCCTCCCAGTGTCTTCCTTAGCTTGGTAATAATCTGAGAAGGGGATCAAACAGAATCCGCCCTTCCTCTCCACGATCCGCTGACAGTCGCCGTTTAGCTTTGGTTCAATATGGCCGGCCATTGTCCCTAGGCTTTCTGTTTATTTCCTGCGGCCTTCAAGTCTGCTTCACTCACTGTTGGTGGCCTGATGGACAACGAGAAACTTGGACGTACAGTCAGTATGTTTTTGTATCCATAAACGCTGGGGGAAGCCACAGCGGAAATGCAAGCAAAATCTGTGACGCACCACACACATTTTTGTTTAAATGACGTCATGTAAAGATGAGTACAGAACTGAAAAAAATGTTGGGTGTATTATTAAACAAATTCTGACATGTCACCTCGTACATCAAGGGACCCCAAATAACCTGACAAAAGGGTCGTCCATTATTGACTTAATCCTCTTATTGACTTAATGGAGGGTAGGGCCCAAAACACAACCTTCCATTTTGTCCGGTCCCCGGCTGTTGATTATACTGTCTCCTGAGACATCCCTGCCTTCAGGTCTCCTGTGGGGGTTCCACTCAAGCGCCCGGCGTGTCACGTTAGAGTGAGCCTTATCACAGTGTGTCCCACCCAGCGCCACTTCCACATGTGTACTGTCGTGGGCTCCTGCCATGTCCATTTCCACATGTTTGTTAGTGTTGGGCACTTTCTCCTGTCTGTCGCCTCAATCTCAGAATCTGTTCACTATTGCCGTCTGATATTAACCCCCCCCCCCCGCTTCCGAGCCTTATCGTCCAACAGCATCACAAAAAGTCACGCACGGTAAATGACGTCATCTGTCATCCTCCCATCCCCCCGTATGGATTTCTGTGGCGTGGCATCACCATGTAGTCGTTGAGAGTAGAGTAAATCGGCTGAAACGACAGCTATCTGCCCTGTAGCGTCCAACACATTTCTAAGACTTTGAAAACATTTGTCAACACCAGAACACCGGGTAGGGGGGGGGGGTTTACTCCTGTATGTGAGATGGGGTGGTGTACTCCTGGATGCGAGATGGGTGGGGGGGGGTTCAATCCAGTGTTACGAGGGGTGGGTGTAAGAAAGAGTGACATCACAGTTTTTCATTTTTAAGAAGTGTTTTGCAAAACTGAATTTGACTTTTTTAGCAGTTGTGTTGCTTTAAAACAAACAACTGATTTGGTTTGAGTGGTCACTACTGGCTAGTTATCCCCCACACAATGATGACCCCCACCACGAAAGGTGGGTCTAAATTAAATTACACAATTTGACCAGACGGACAATGTATCAGAAGACATCTTGACCTGTTGAAATCGTAAAATAATAACGCATACACGTACCTATATATTTGTCACCCACAAATGGCATGAAGTTGTGCACACATTGTTTTAATCCACCTATTAATTCTAATGGAAAAAGCAACATTTCAGAGTCCAATGGTGTCACTTCCGCCCGGTCATTGATTGACTAACCAGTTATTGAAAATATTCAACTAAACTTTTTTTCCTCTGTAAATTTTGCAGTTGGTGTCACCCCCCCCCCCCCCCTTACCGGGTGATAGTTTTAAAGTGTGCACAGTAAATACTAACGACGTTCGGTTGTTAATACGGCTGTATGTAGCATTGTTTTCTCTATAGTTAGCAGGTTTGCGTCAAACTCCCCCCCCCCCCCATTGTTGGCAGCGTTAATTTGTACCTAAAAGACTTTTTTTTAAAAACTATAATTAATCATTAACTAAACAGACAAAAATCATTTTTCTTCTATATATTTTGCAATTTTTTGCCTTGGTGTCACCCACCCAGTGCGGTCCCTGCCCCCCCCCCCCCCTCCCCACCCCGGAATTCTGTGTTGCTTTAAACAACGATAACATCGGCTACAACTTTTTTTTATCAAAGCTGTTGAAACGTGATTTTTGTTTTGTATTATTCAGGATGTTGTTATTGTGGTAAGATCACGTGATACACATTATACAACAAACGTGAGCATGAGCTCACCCAACACAGGAGGTAATGGCTCAACTTAAGATTTGTTAACTGAGAATAAACTCGTCTGTTGTATGTGATGACTTTTAATTGATTTTTTCTATGTGATGTTTCCACGTGTCGTCCTGGCGGCTACTCGGCGTATTTGACCTGGTTGAACAACACTGGCGTACTCGTTTCTTCCGGGCGGGCGTCGGTGGGGCGTCGAGAGAGCGAGGCGCTGGGTTGGATGGGCTGGGCGGGCAGGTTGGTCATAAGGGGCAGCTCAAGTCTGCGCGTGATGAAGTCTTCCTCCTTCTGCTTGTGCCTCCGTCTGAGTCGCTCAAACAGCTCACGCTCCTCCTTCAGCCGGCCTTCCCGCTCAAACTGCTGTAGGGCTTTGTAGACCTTCTGGTGGCTGTTGACGCTGTTCATCTGGGCTTCTGTTGACAGATTCGACACTTGTTTATATTCATTCGGTATTTGTATGAAGCTACACACAAGTAGGCCTATTTACAGACATAACATGGCGGCTAGAATTAACGTACCATTGGACAGCTAGAGCACGTGACATACGGTGTCTATGCTGCCGACACAGTTAATGTAAAGTATGTTGAATAGTCTGGGTACGTTTGAAGAAACTGTCCATAATTCTGATCACATTATATAACACCACATCACACCACATCATATCACATCACACCACACCATTTTTAGCCGATTAAAAAAACCCACCGCTTATGTAAAGTTACCTTCCTTGACCCCCTCCTTTAAAACTACTTTACCTTCCTTGACCCCCTCCTTTAAAACTACCTTACCTTCCTTGACCCCCTCCTTTAAAACTACCTTACCTTCCTTGACCCCCTCCTTTAAAACTACCTTACCTTCCTTGACCCCCCCCTTCCTTAAAACTACCTTACCTTCCTTGACCCCCTCCTTTAAAACTACCTTACCTTCCTTGACCCCCTCCTTTAAAACTACCTTACCTTCCTTGACCCCTCCTTTAAAACTACCTTACCTTCCTTGACCCCTCCTTTAAAACTACCTTACCTTCCTTGACCCCCTCCCTTAAAACTACCTTACCTTCCTTGACCCCCTCCTTTAAAACTACCTTACCTTCCTTGACCCCCTCCTTTAAAACTACCTTACCTTCCTTGACCCCTCCTTTAAAACTACCTTACCTTCCTTGACCCCCTCCTTTAAAACTACCTTACCTTCCTTGACCCCCCCTTCCTTAAAACTACCTTACCTTCCTTGACCCCCTCCTTTAAAACTACCTTACCTCCCTTGACCCCTCCTTTAAAACTACCTTACCTTCCTTGACCCCCTCCTATAAACTACCTTACCTTCCTTGACCCCCTCCTTTAAAACTACCTTACCTTCCTTGACCCCCTCCTTTAAAACTACCTTACCTTCCTTGACCCCTCCTTTAAAACTACCACAGCTGTTTGACTACAAATAAAAAAGTCAGACAACTCACTGAACCAGTCTTGTTGATGGATCCTACAGTCACGTGGTATCTTGACGCCGGGCATGTATGGATGCGCGTCGTGAAAGCGCCAGTGCGCGTCAGTTGGGCACTTTCCGGAAGTGGAAGTTGGCACTTCCGGTTTACTGCACTGAGCTCGATTTTTTAGTAATCTTTCTTCCTTTTGGGATGGAGCTAGAAATAAATATTACATCACTCATTTTTTACTTTCTCGTATATACGAAGTATAGAGAAAGTATTGTAATCGTGCACAAAAATCACTTGAAATTTTAACAATTTTTACCGTATTACACCTCAGTCCTTCATCACATCCGAAGTATAGAGGACTTATTTTAATCGGGCAAAAATTATCAATCCAGATTTATCAAAATTAAGAGGTTTTATGCGTAATCCAGTCTGAAAAACTGGGCTTTGCAATTCTGTCCGTATGTCTGTGTGTCTGTGTGTGTGTCCGTGTGTAAACACGATTACTTGAGTACCGTTATAGCTAGGTTGATGAAATTTCATATATAAGTATTTTATCAAAATCGTAGATCCGTATCAACTTTTGAGCGATTTCCGATAACCGGAAGTGGTACTTTTCCTACTTTGAATTTTTCAAAAGCCTATAACTTGAGTACTATTTCAGATAGATAAATGAAATTTCACATGTAAGTAAAAAATCTAATTCTCTACCTTCTGTTAAATTTTGAGTAATTTCCGTTGACCGGAAGTAGTAATTTACGCTACTTCCGATTTCTCAAAAAACTAATGTAAATTTTTAAAGTACTAATAATATTGCGCGCTATTGTGCACTTTTTTATTTGGCGTTCACTAGTTCACTTGGCGTGCAATTATTTTGTCTACGAGATTTTATTCTATTTTTAAAACTTTAAGTATTTAAAATGGATTAAAAATCATGTCAATAGCCCGAGTTCCCATCCCTGTTGTTTTATATAAGAATATTCGAGAAAGTTTAGGGGAGATCACTCCCGGTTTATTAACGTATTCGGTTTAAGATCCGGCCTGTCTTTTACTGGTTTTTACAAACAAGGAAAGAAAAAAAAAATTGCCTACAATACACGGAAATAAAACACTTGCATACAAGACACAGACTAAAAAAAAACTTGCATACAAGACAAGGAAACAAAAAACTTGCCTACAAGTCAAGGAAACAAAAAACTTGCCTACAAGACATGAAATTTAAAAATTGCCTACAAGAAAAAACAAACTTGCCTACAATATTGTCTTTGCACTCTGGATCACAGCAACAGTCGTCTGCTGAAAGTTGTTTCTGTACGTTATCTGGATGGTCACATATATCACACACTACACGGCAATTTCTGGTGAGTAAAACGATCTTGCCGTCACTATTGCACCCATTTCCACCAACTGACTACACGTGTGTAAGCCCTGACGGGGTGGGGGGGGGGGGGGGATGACAACCTTGTTTTTTTTAGATAAATTACTATGATTATATAGGGAAATACGACTGGTCAGTTTTGACCTCTTTCCCGATTTTCCCCGCATATGGCGAGTTTTTCCTGACACCCCTTGGCGTTTTTCTACGACTTCACAAAATATCAAAGGGGGTCGTTCGGCAAATATTTTTTTTCGATATATAGCTCAAATAATGAGAATTTCACTCGTGGTTACTTTTTAGCCCTCGCCGTGCAAGTTAAGGCTGACCAATAGTTTTTCCATATGGCCCATTTATTTAATCAGGTCTATGGAAAAAATGAGCCAGATGTACAAAGCGAAAGTTCCTAAACATTATTTTGAAAATAGTCAGCGTTTTTCACCAAATTAACAATGTTTATATTGTGAATTCGGACCGGTCACTTCTAAAGGCCTTCCGAAATTTTCCCTAAGTTAACGCCTATTTTTTTTAGTGACCCCTGCGGTCAATTCTACGACCTCAGGAATTATGATTGGTTTTGTACGTCCAGATATTTGTATTTTTTTTTTCAAAAACAGTACTATGTTTATATAAGGAAATATAGCTCATATAAGGAGAATTTCACTCGCGGTCCCTTTTTAGCCCTCGACGTGCGACCGATAGCATATCCAAAAGGTCGATTCATTTACCCACGTCCATGGAATATGGAAAAAAATGAGCCAGATGTACAGAGCCAGAGTACCCTGTTCTGCAAACAGTCATCGTTTTTCACGAAAATAACAATGTTTATATAGGGAAAATTCGGACCGGTCACTTCAAAAGCCCTTCCGGAGTTTTCTGGAATATATCCTATTTTTTTTTTTTTTTTTTTTTTTGCTATCCCCGAGGGTTGGTCTACGACCTCAGGAGTTATGAAGAGGTTCCTACGAGGGAATTTTTTTCGATCATCATCATCATCATCACTCCTTTGTGGCCCCTGGGGAGCAAAGGGCTGCAACCACACATATTATTTCGATATATAGCTCATATAAGGCGCCAGTCAGTCGAGGTCAGTTTTGACCCTCTCTTAGTGGTATTTTGTGGCCAACTGGCACCGGACCCGTGTTCTATTGCCCCAAGGTAGGAACCTGCCAAATTTGAAGCGCCTGCGCGCCTGGAAGAACCCATCCGGCATCCGACCACTTTGCTTTATATAAATAGATATTTATGTGTATGTATGTATATATTTACATACCTGAATGATGTTGTATCACGGTATACCTGGGTCCCTGCGCTGCCTAAAGACTCGTGGCCTGAGAACGTACACCGTCTGATGGGATACCAGCCCTTGTAGAACTTGTCAGGCTTAAGGCAGCTTTCAATCTGAAAATTGACAGTTAATGACAGCTTTTATTCGGGAAAAAGACAGTTAATGACAGCTTTCATTCCGAAAAAATTGACAGTTAATGACAGCTTTTATTCCGAAAAAAAAATGGATTCAATTGACACATTCATAAAAAATTATGTCAGCTTTCAAGGACTTAACGCATCGTACCTGTACTTTAGTTTATTGAAAACATATAAGGGAATGAACTCCGTCCTGCATATTGAGTAGGAAAACACACAAGGGAACGAATTCTGTCCTGATTATTGAGCAAATCTCACCAATCAAACCAAAGTTGCAAACAAACCACTAACCATGAAGCTGCCTAAGTTCAAACCAACCGGTCTATTCGTGTTAGGTTAGCGTTCGCCCCGGTTTAGGGTAAACCCTTGGGCAAATGAAGCAACCCATCTAGATGTTATAGGAGAGAAATCTCCGAAATCCAACAGTAGTGGAGGCCCTTAGGCGCTACGATCACCAACTCTGGTTTTCTCTCGACAGCTCCTGCGACCAGAGTTTCTTCCAGGCATCCCCCCCCCCCCCGAAAAATTTTTACCGCCCCCCCGAACGAAATGAAATTTATATAATTTATATAGAAAATATATACTTTTAACCGTGTCCGCCCCCCGAAGAAAGTTTACCGCCCCCCCCCCCCCCCCGAAGATTTCAAGTGCCCCCCCGGAGAAAAAAGTCAGGAAGAAACACTGCCTGCGACACTGCTGATTCCAAGCTGTACAGGTAACCAGTGTTTCTTTCAGACTTTTTCCTCCAGGGGGGGGGGGGGGCACTTGAAATTTTCGGGAGGGGGGGGGGGGGGAGGGGGCTGTAGACTTTCTTCGGGGGGGGGGGCGGACACTGTTAAAAGTATTTATATTCTATATAAATTATATAAATTTCATTTCGTTCGGGGGTGGGGGGGCGATAGAAAACTCTGCAGGTAACGTTCTGTCCTTTGGGTCCATCAGCTGTGTGGAGAGAGGGGGTCTGGTACATGGGTAACATCTGGCTCTTCTCATCTTACCGCCAAGACTTTGTGCTTGAATTTCCAATGCGCAACCATCCAATGGTCTATTAGACTATGGAGCCATATACATTAGGCGACACCATGTGTGTGTGTAGGGGGGGGGGGTCACACAAAATTGCCTATAGTATTACACATTTTTATTATTTTATATTATAATCGATGGCGGGGGGGGGGGGGGGGGGTGAGACTCGGTGTTACCACACCAGTTGTCGCCTAATGACGTCAGTACACTGGTTTGATCCTAAATTAGAGTGTGTATGGCCTCATACAGTTGCCGACTCCATCCCTATCTAGATGTGCCCGCCATATTGTCTTACCCATCGCCCCTTGCACGCCACCTGTGTGTCGCCTGCTTCTACCGTCTTCACCGAATTTCGTTTCTTAAAGAACTCTTTGTTGCTCAGATTTTGATCCATCTTATACCTAAATATTCGCCTTACTGTCAATATTCTCCTCAGTGATGTAAAATTCAATGTTTTAGCTTCATTTATTTTAATAATTTATGCTGGTATGTATATTTTGTCTAGACAGGATGTAATTCACGTATTATTTAGATCTGTGCCTGAGTAGCTCTGTGAACGTGCTGAATCTTGTGCGCACTAGTGCTGATGTTATTTTTAGAAGTGCGCCGAAAGACAATCCGTTCTTATGAAACAATCCCGTCACATTTTACCCTCAGTGTATTACTCGCTTCCCCCCCCCCCCTCCCATGTGATCTTCCCCTTAAGAAAATGACCACCCCGTTAATTATGGTAATTGCTTTAAAAAGTTTTGGAAAGTAGGTAATTGTTACCCCATTTACTACAACAACCCCTCCCCATAATTTACAGTACACTATATTGTTTCTTGAATGGTGTGTATTGGCACAAGGCAAATACCATTCTAATGATGTGTGGTGATACAAGGTAAATACCATTCTAATGATGTGTGGTGACACAAGGCAAATACCATTCTAATTCTAATGATGTGTGGTGACACATGGTAAATACCATTCTAATGATGTGTGGTGACACAAGGTAAATACCATTCTAATGATGTGTGGTGACACAAGGCAAATACCATTCTAATGATGTGTGGTGACACAAGGCAAATACCATTCTAATTCTAATGATGTGTGGTGACACATGGTAAATACCATTCTAATTCTAATGATGTGTGGTGACACAAGGTAAATACCATTCTAATGATGTGTGGTGACACATGGTAAATACCATTCTAATGATGTGTGATGGCACAAGGCAAATACCATTCTAATTCTAATGATGTGTGGTGACACATGGTAAATACCATTCTAATGATGTATGGTGACACAAGGTAAATACCATTCTAATGATGTGTGGTGACACAAGGCAAATACCATTCTAATGATGTGTGGTGACACAAGGCAAATACCATTCTAATTCTAATGATGTGTGGTGACACAAGGTAAATACCATTCTAATGATGTGTGGTGACACAAGGTAAATACCATTCTAATGATGTGTGGTGACACAAGGCAAATACCATTCTAATGATGTGTGGTGACACAAGGCAAATACCATTCTAATTATGTGTGGTGACACAAGGTAAATACCATTCTAATGATGTGTGGTGACACAAGGCAAATACCATTCTAATGATGTGTGGTGACACAAGGCAAATACCATTCTAATGATGTGTGGTGACACAAGGCAAATACCATTCTAATGATGTGTGGTGACACAAGGCAAATACCATTCTAATGATGTGTGGTGACACATGGTAAATACCATTCTAATGATGTGTGGTGACACATGGTAAATACCATTCTAATGATGTGTGGTGACACAAGGTAAATACCATTCTAATGATGTGTGGTGACACATGGTAAATACCATTCTAATGATGTGTGGTGACACATGGTAAATACCATTCTAATGATGTGTGGTGACACAAGGCAAATACCATTCTAATGATGTGTGGTGACACAAGGTATATACCATTCTAATGATGTGTGGTGACACAAGGTAAATACCATTCTAATGATGTGTGGTGACACAAGGTAAATACCATTCTAATGATGTGTGGTGATACAAGGTAAATACCATTCTAATGATGTGTGGTGACACAAGGTAAATACCATTCTAATGATGTGTGGTGACACAAGGCAAATACCATTCTAATGATGTGTGGTGACACAAGGCAAATACCATTCTAATTCTAATGATGTGTGGTGACACATGGTAAATACCATTCTAATGATGTGTGGTGACACAAGGCAAATACCATTCTAATTCTAATGATGTGTGGTGACACATGGTAAATACCATTCTAATGATGTGTGGTGACACAAGGCAAATACCATTCTAATTCTAATGATGTGTGGTGACACATGGTAAATACCATTCTAATGATGTGTGGTGACACAAGGCAAATACCATTCTAATTCTAATGATGTGTGGTGACACATGGTAAATACCATTCTAATGATGTGTGGTGACACAAGGCAAATACCATTCTAATTCTAATGATGTGTGGTGACACATGGTAAATACCATTCTAATGATGTGTGGTGACACAAGGCAAATACCATTCTAATTCTAATGATGTGTGGTGACACATGGTAAATACCATTCTAATGATGTGTGGTGACACAAGGCAAATACCATTCTAATGATGTGTGGTGACACAAGGTAAATACCATTCTAATGATGTGTGGTGACACAAGGCAAATACCATTCTAATGATGTGTGGTGACACAAGGCAAATACCATTCTAATAATGTGTGGTGACACAAGACAAATACCATTCTAATGATGTGTGGTGACACAAGGCAAATACCATTCTAATTCTAATGATGTGTGGTGACACATGGTAAATACCATTCTAATGATGTGTGGTGACACAAGGCAAATACCATTTTAATTCTAATGATGTGTGGTGACACATGGTAAATACCATTCTAATGATGTGTGGTGACACAAGGCAAATACCATTCTAATTATGTGTGGTGACACAAGGTAAATACCATTCTAATGATGTGTGGTGACACAAGGCAAATACCATTCTAATGATGTGTGGTGACACAAGGTAAATACCATTCTAATGATGTGGTGACACAAGGCAAATACCATTCTAATTCTAATGATGTGTGGTGACACATGGTAAATACCATTCTAATGATGTGTGGTGACACAAGGCAAATACCATTCTAATTCTAATGATGTGTGGTGACACATGGTAAATACCATTCTAATGATGTGTGGTGACACAAGGCAAATACCATTCTAATTCTAATGATGTGTGGTGACATATGGTAAATACCATTCTAATGATGTGTGGTGACACAAGGTAAATACCATTCTAATGATGTGTGGTGACACAAGGCAAATACCATTCTAATGATGTGTGGTGACACAAGGCAAATACCATTCTAATGATGTGTGGTGACACAAGGTAAATACCATTCTAATGATGTGTGGTGACACAAGGCAAATACCATTCTAATGATGTGTGGTGACACAAGGTAAATACCATTCTAATGATGTGTGGTGACACAAGGCAAATACCATTTTAATTCTAACGATGTGTGGTGACACAAGGCAAATACCATTTTAATTCTAACGATGTGTGGTGACACATGGTAAATACCATTCTAATGATGTGTGGTGACACAAGGTAAATACCATTCTAATGATGTGTGGTGACACAAGGCAAATACCATTCTAATGATGTGTGGTGACACAAGGCAAATACCATTCTAATGATGTGTGGTGACACAAGGTAAATACCATTCTAATGATTTGTGGTGACACAAGGTAAATACCATTCTAATGATGTGTGGTGACACATGGCAAATACCATTCTAATTCTAATGATGTGTGGTGACACAAGGCAAATACCATTCTAATGATGTGTGGTGATACAAGGTAAATACCATTCTAATGATGTGTGGTGACACAAGGCAAATACCATTCTAATTCTAATGATGTGTGGTGACACATGGTAAATACCATTCTAATGATGTGTGGTGACACAAGGCAAATACCATTTTAATTCTAATGATGTGTGGTGACACATGGTAAATACCATTCTAATGATGTGTGGTGACACAAGGCAAATACCATTCTAATTCTAATGATGTGTGGTGACACATGGTAAATACCATTCTAATGATGTGTGGTGACACAAGGTAAATACCATTCTAATGATGTGTGGTGACACAAGGCAAATACCATACTTATGATGTGTGGTGACACAAGGCAAATACCATACTAATGATGTGTGGTGACACAAGGCAAATACCATTCTAATGATGTGTGGTGACACAAGGCAAATACCATTCTAATGATGTGTGGTGACACAAGGTAAATACCATTCTAATGTTGTGTGGTGACACAAGGTAAATACCATTCTAATGATGTGTGGTGACACAAGGCAAATACCATTCTAATTCTAATGATGTGTGGTGACACATGGTAAATACCATTCTAATGATGTGTGGTGACACAAGGTAAATACCATTCTAATGATGTGTGGTGACACAAGGCAAATACCATTCTAATGATGTGTGGTGACACAAGGTAAATACCATTCTAATGATGTGTGGTGATACAAGGTAAATACCATTCTAATGATGTGTGGTGACACAAGGTAAATACCATTCTAATGATGTGTGGTGACACAAGGTAAATACCATTCTAATGATGTGTGGTGATACAAGGTAAATACCATTCTAATGATGTGTGGTGATACAAGGTAAATACCATTCTAATGATGTGTGGTGATACAAGGTAAATACCATTTTAATTCTAATGATGTGTATTGGCACATGGTAAATACCATTCTAATGTTGGTTGACTGGACGTGTGAAATATGAGACAGTGAAGGATTTTATGTTTAGCGGTGAATGGGGTGAAACTTGTTACAATCTAATTACTCTATGTGATGCGTAGGTAGGCGTGTTTAAACATGATAATAGTTAAAATAACATTTCACAATTACTTTTTTAAAATAAACATTTTACATTGTTAATTTGTTCGTGTTTTTATTGCGTCTAAGTGTGTGTGTGTGTGTGTGTTGGAGGGGGTGGCAGGTGAAGAAATGAATTAGTGATACTTGATTGCGGGAGGTAATGTCTTTTGTGTAAATTTTTAAAATGAACATAAAAATAAAATTAAACCCGTAAAAAGGTTCCATTCTCACGTTTAACCGATTAAACGGTAACTGGTCGAACCATATTTCCAAATAATACCGGAAACGCTTGTAGCATAGTAACCGTAATCAGAAGTGTAGTGGTCCTAGATAAAGAATAATAAAGATAATCTAGATCTAAATTATCTTACTTATTATATTATTGAAAATTATTTATTGAGCGATTAGCGTAAGTAATGGAAATTAATTTAATTTAGTTTGGCTATTAAACTGAAGCACGAATATTGAATATAGGCTAATTACTTTAGGCTAAATTTAATAAAAGGCCTAAATATTAAATAAGTAGGTAATCTATCGTTTTGGGTACGTAAAATCGCCCGCGATTTGTAATGTGAAAAACAGGTGACTCCTTAAATTTTAATAATTATTTCACATTTTGAGGAGGATTTATGTTTTAAAAAATTCAAAAATGTTTCCTTGATTCATTTATGTACCTGTTTTTAAACATTTGAATTAAAACTTTTCCGTAATAAATGAAGACTAGCGATGTTTCCAACAGATGCAACCATGCTCATTTACTATAGCAGCCATCTTGTCTAAGTTTTATTTTTATAAGCTTTTAGCGCCAGATTCAGGGGGAAGCCACTCTATTTTACAAATGGCTGCTGTTTATATAGCAAATCTTGCTCTCAGACACTGCTGTTTAAAGTTAATTTCTGGCCTATATCGATAAATTTAGCCATTGATTTAGGTTTATTATTCATTTATCTATAATATTTGACACAAAAGTATGACAATATATACTTCTATTAAATAATTAAAGCCTTGACAATGAGGTAACGTTTTGGTACATAAATAGCCGCGGGCGATTTTACGTACCCAAAACGATAGATTACCAACATTTTTGTATTTTTAAAACATAAATCCTCCTCAAAATGTGAAATAATTATTAAAATGTAAGGAGTCACCTGTTTTTCACATTACTAGTCGCGGGCGATTTTACGTACCCAAAACGATAGATTACCAATAAGTAAATATTATAAATAAATTAATAAATATTAGGCCTATAATTAGGCTAAAATTATTAATAAATAATTCAAATTTAATTAGGCCTAATTATTAAAGATAAGGGCCTGACATCCAGTTTAAGAATTTTAAATTAAAATTTTAAAAACTATATAGATCTAAATCTATAAATTTCACTTAGATCTCGATCGATCACTCTCTGACCCCTTTCTGTTCTGTTTCTCTAGACGCCCTTACAATACAGAATATACAAGTCATCTACCTGTTTTAAAATTAATAATTAATATTAAGCTCAGATGAGAAATGACCAATGGCAAGAGCTGTAAAAACACATCATCTGAAAAAGATCCTCATATTACAGAGGAGATCAAACTTCCAGTGATCAATACCTCTGATCCTAAGCAAAAAAGTTCATTACCAAGTAAAACATTATTTGGGACTGTTCTTGAAAGAGTAGACCCAGACAGTCTGAATGCTATAGATATAAACAATATCCAAGTAAAGCAGGTGCTTGAGAGGTACCCACTGCCACAACATTTTAAAGACCAAATCAAAGGTATGGTATTGCAAATTCTGAAAGAAACCTTTATTTTATGTTTGGAAATTATTTATGAGACAAATAAACAGGTTCATAATAGTGAAAAATGTTTAATTACAATACCAAAATCTCAGGTTTTAAGTTAAAAAAAATTCTTTGTTATAAAACATGGGCTTTGGTAAACTGTGAGAAATGAAACTCAAATGGTAAAGCAGTAAAATGTAAGAAGGTGTTGCAGCATGGTCTGTAGACTCAAAACCAGTTGATCAATCATGGACATGTCATGGCGGAAAAATAATAGTTTTCTATATAAATTCCATTTTGTTCGAAAAGATACCTGGAAGAAACTCTGACAATTGATACACTTCTAGCTTCTGTATTAAGTGACAGGCCCCTTAGCTTCTACTCAAAATACAAATATGACTGAAACCATTGTAAAACTGATTAAATATTGCTAAATATAAGAAAACTGCATGTTCCTAAGTGGATTACTTAAGTTTATGATGAGCATAGTTATCTAGAAAAGATGCCTATCTATAGCTCTTCATTTGTCAATAATTATTATTCATGCTGTTGGTATAATTTGTTCATTAGCATATTAGAAGAGACACACACAGAAACAGATTGCTAAAACATTTCTTTTCTAATTAGGTAGAGAGCAGCTAGAACTCTCCAAGCTAGAGTTATTAAAGCAGAGGCAAGCTGTAGAGGAAGCTGATGTGCTATTGAAATCTAAAATCAAACAAGCCCTTTCATTTAGACAGGCACAAAACATCACTGAATTAAAACCTTCAGCAGATTCTGTTAGGCTCTCACACAAAGATCTAGAACATTCTAAAGAAATTAATAGTGTGGGTCTTAACAAACATGGGAGCTTTAACAAAGACAGGTATGGAAGTAGACCAGTAAGACACAAGTACAGTTTAATAGGAGATCCATTAGCCTTCAATATGGATTTTAATTATACTTCGGATACTTGTCAAAAAACTGGAGCACCCAGAAATGGAGATAATGCACTAGGATGGAATAGGACTCGTCACCTGCCTTATGATTTAATGAAGCAAACTCAATCTAAAGATGCATCACATCTGAAAAGTGTGATTGATTTACCCCCTAACATACGCCACAAATTTGGTAGTAAAGTTTGTGATGTTTTACTCAGTGACCAGCACCTTGTTAGCTTATCATTTGAAAACCAAAAGAAACTGTTAGGACCTGCCAGAGCCTCTAAACCTGATACAGTTGATGGTTTGCCTGTCAGCCTTGAGGGTAACTATCAAAATCTTAGTCATACATCGAGATACAATACTTTTCCTGGGTTAACCACTGGATACACCATGAGCCAAACAAAAGAAGATTTTAATGATTCTATTCACCAAAGACGAGTCCCAAATCCTGATCAATACAGATATCAACGTGATGAACTGAGTGAGTAAAACTATTTCCTTTTTGGTTGAAGAAAGTAGGAATTGTCCTTCAAGTTTATTTGATTTTATTAGTTCAAATTATGGTCACCAAAAAATTTAAATCTTTTTTGTATACTTACCTACTGTTGGATAGTAATTTATCAGCTTCACATCACCGTAAAATACTTCCAAGTTGTGAAATAACTTTTAAGAAGACTTTGTATCCACATTTTGTTGGCTGCTGTATAACATGTTTGAACACAAAAGATGGTATTTTTCATTGCTTAATTTTTCCAAAAATTAATTCTGTTGTACACATGTTTGGAAGATTAATTTAAATGAAATCCTTATCCAAAACTTTCTGTTCAAATATTTATGTGAAAATTTCTACTTATAGGAAACTTTGTATTAAATTTAATTTCCCAGGCACTTGGGCTGAGCACAATATTTTGCGGGAACGGATGAAAAAAGCTTGGAATGAGAACCATCCACTTGGTGGCAAGCAACAGTAGAATGTCTTTCTACCGGCCTTTTGTTTCAACACATTTATTTTTTTATGGCTTCCATTTACATCAGTAATTAATGTCCTTGTTATTTGTATATTAAAATACTTTCTTGTAAATACCAACATCCTGACTGCGTACTAACTCTGAGCTACAGGTTTTAGAAAGTAATCTAAAGACATCACTGAAATAATGCTAGACTAAATGTCATTAATCATGGCTTTAGAACATAACTGCAGATTCTGTAGTTAACTCATATTTTTGTGTTGAGTTTTTAAATGTAAATAAATAAAAGAAAAATATAATGATTGTTGTAAATTTTTTGAAGAGTAAGAATTTTTTATATCATGCAAGAATTATTTAAACTTCTGAGCTGTGTTCACATCCCTGGAACTATAAAACACATGCTATCCTCTCATGTAAAAGTTCAAAATATTCCTTTCAAAAGATTGTGCTATTTCTTTTTTGACTACCAGTATAATATTCTTGGGCCTGAGAAGCTTTAACTTGTGTATAAAAACTTGATTATTTTTATTTAAAACAAAAATTATTCATGATATCTGATTTGACATGTACTTTAAAAATTAGCTCTACACAATTTTACTGATAACAGAAAACAATTAAAAAAACAAACAAATAAACAATGTTCTAAATATTGTAATTATTTTAAAAATTTTCTTTGTAAAAAAAGTGTAAAATCTCATAAGGCTATAAATAATAAAAATTGAAAAAAAACAACTCTAATATAAAAAATACATTTGATGTTTAACAAGTAACGCAACAAGCATAAAAATATCACTGCAAAAAAACCTCATTACAGTAATATTTAATTATGAGCTTACTGAAGGAGCAAACTATTAATTTATCATCTTGTAAAATCAGAGATAAACTTAATTTGCACCAAATTCTGTTTTAGATAGTGTCTCACCATCAGTAGTTGAGATGTTTAGAGAGCTGAACTGTAAACCTTGAGCCGAGTGTTGTACAGACAATAAAGAAATGTTTCAAGTTCCTACTTTATTTTTTACTCATGCCACTTAAGCAATATCTAGTTTCATTACACAATGTACAATGAATTTGTGAAAGTGAATCACTATTTTAATCCTTAAAAATTCTGCTTATAACAATGTTCTGTTTAAGATATTTTGTTTTATATTTATTAAGTGTCCCATAAATATAATAGTGATGGAAAATATTGAACATTTATATTCCTTTCATTTTTTTAGTATATACAGTTGTCTGAAAATAACGTGTAAAATAAAAAACAAAAATAAAAACAGAAAAAGACTGATCAAATAGTACGATGGTGGAGTCAAAACATGGAAAACATAGCTTAGATATTACATATTTGGCAGATCTTTTAAAAAAAAGTAAAATACACTAAATATTGTAATTTAAATAAAATAATGTAAACACAATAAAATAATGTAAACACAATAAAATAATGTCAACACAATAAATAATGTAAACACGTTATCCTTACATTTTTATGCTATATTTTGAGCAGTCTTGACAATAAAAGTGCTGGACTGACCAATAAATGCAGACTTTGTTCCAGTTATACTTTTTGAAGTTCCCCTGTGTTCAATTCTGTATTCCCCAGGTTGTTGTCCTATTGGTATATCCCAAACAATTTCAGCTTCACTAGTACCAAGAATAAAGCCTGTATCCACCCACTTAAATCTAGTGTAAAAAAAATAAATCATATTTCATAAGAGAATGTTAAAGAAATACATTTTTAAAAATAGTTACAACACCAGCAGATTTCTACACTTGAGTTTATAAGCTGGGAAATCTATAGCTCTAATTAGTTTAATTACCTACCTAAATGAGATATAAACTTTACTGTCAAGCCTACCTTGTTTCCCAATGGGCATCTGTGTACTCAGGGATCCAATTTCCTGAAGTGTCTTTACGCATTACAGTTAGAAATGAATCACCTGTCTGCAAACAAATTTAGAAAAATATTTATTTTAAGCTCTAAGTATTGTACATGGTTGTTTTTTTTTAAAATTCACCCTACACTGACCACATTAAAATAAAAAACAAACAAATGAACCTAAATCACAGAAGCAAGAAATGGAACAATACTTTCTGCTAGACAAAATATTTAATAGAAAAAGAAAAGCAATATCTAAAATGTATTTTTTCAGGTTTCTTTTGTTTTTAATTATATCTTAAGTGTACCTATATGAAATGTATTCTTACCCTGAGGTCATTTCTGGGATTGGCACTGACAAATGTTACTGTGACAGAGGAACCCTGGAAATTAATTACAATAATTTAAAACTACTTAATTATTAACTGTGAATTGTCTGAAAAAAAAGGCATGAATTATAGGTCTACACACTGATAGTAGGTCTACACATGTGTGTAGTCTGGGAATGGATAGTGGGAAAACATTGCCTTTTTTTTTAAGTTTTTTTTAAATAACTGAAAGATATAATTTTAAAGTATTCAAAACAGATTTTAACAAACCTGGACATATGAGGGTTGGACATCTTTAATCACTTGGCCAAAATGTTTTCCAATAGGAGGTAAGTCATATATTACGCCAGGCAAAAGTGAGATCTGCTTGCCTAACTGGTTGGGTGGGGGTGGTCCAAGTGGAGAGGGCTTTCCCTTTTGTTTGATGATAATAAAAAGTAAAGGTAAACTATTGATTAATCCAAAACCCATGAAGACTTGTTAATTTTTTATTTAACGACTGTCTGAATGATGGCAAGTTTTAAAACCAACCTGTGCAAGGTAAACAGCAAGCTGCTTGTAGATCTGCAGGTATGCATCAAGTGTGTGTGGACCATAAATTGTTGACCCACCTTCATATCTCTGGATCTAAACAACAAGGATATCAATTCTATGACTAGAACCCATACTTCAAGAACCACAACCCACACAGCAGGGACTAAAACCCATACCTCAGGAACCACAACCCATACTTCAGGAACCACAACCCATTAAAAGAAAAAAGTATTTAACTATTAAATTGAAAAAAAAATACATTTAGAATAATACATATTTCTTACAATATATATAACATTTCTGTAGATAGGAAAGTTTTCAATGATATATAAGCATGTGATATTTAAACAGGATACCTGATACTCTTCAAATGTGGTAATGTAGTCTGCATATTCATTAGATAAGCCAGCTATGACCACTTTTGAGTCACTTGGAAATCCTTCTTGGACAAGTGTCTGTAATAAAATAACAAGTGTGACAACAATTATTGCAAATAAAAGTGGCATTTCTATATATTCTTACCAGTGGGTTGCTTAAGAGGAGAATAGATTTCCTAGAATAAAATTTTAAACTCCCATAAAATTTAACTTACATTGTAAATTAGTTCCCTCATTCTTCTGCCAGACATGGTACTACAAAAAGAAAAAATTCTGAAACTTTATAGGAATCTACAATAGCATTTTTTAAAAAGATATTTGTGTGATATAAAGATGAAAGGCAAAAGTTATTTTTTAAAAACATGAAAATATTTACAATAAATCAGCTTCATTTCATAATAAAGTTGATTTAGCTAGTGTAAGTCTATAAGAAATAAAAATTTGTTAAAATAAATTATAACTTGCGTAAACTCTCCAGGGACTACGATGATCACAAACTGACCAACACGAATGAGCTGAGTGTCAACTATTTGGGGTTGCCATAGATATGGTTCTTTAATCTGGTTGATATAAATATTTTATAACTTATAAAAGTGAAAAACAAACATTATGTTTAAAAAAAAAAAAAAAACCCCAAAGCTATTTCGACTTTGTCTAACTTTTCAAGTCTAATTGTATCAACAATTTTATCTCTTTTTTTTTCACAGAACTCTAATACAATATACATGTCTAGAAAAAAACAACTTGCAGCAAGTAAGTATACACTTTCCGTGGGAAAAATGTTTTCATATTAACTTACTGCAAGTTTTTTCCCTGGACAAATATAGTATACATGTTACAAGTGTGAACATGGTGTCAGTCAAGTGAACATTCAAAATATTGTCATTTGTTGTACAAATCAGTTTAGTGGAGCTGACAAACTTTAAAAAAACCCGTAAATTGTAGTTTTAAAATTAAAGGAATTTATTCTAGAATGAAATGCAAACCTCTCCAGTATCTAGTAAAATTGGTTTAGGGTAATGACACTCGGACTGTCGCTTGGTTGGCTCTTTGATGAGGTCTCTGACTAAATTCCAGAATGGATTACTGCTGTTACTACCTAAAGAAGATAAGATACTACAAAATTATTACTTCCAAGAAAAAAACAAAACAACACAAGAACATAGGCCAAAATTAAGTAAAATTCAATTTTAAAATTTGCAACACTCAATTTCTTAACTCAAGCTTTATAGTAAGTCAGAATTATTCATCTAAATGTGTTTGGATAACATAATAAAGTATTAAAGTTATTATTTGAACAAGGTTTAAATTAAAAAAAGAAGAGTAACTGACCTTGCTTAAAATCAAAAGCACCAGGACCATCAGTTGTACCAGCAGCAAAACTATAGCCCATGGCTGGCTTGCAGGTTTGAACCTAGGATAAAACGGTCTGTTGTTACAGCAGAAATCAAACACTGATCACGTCAAAATAATTTCAGTTTGTGATCCACCAGGGGAGTGAGTATGATGATTGGGTAGTAGAGAGATATAAAAAAGCTTTACTACCGTGGCTCCACTGGCTAAAGTAACATTCTGTATGGTCATATCAACATAAGAATGTCTGAAGTCTACTGGACCACTCAGTTTGATAGTAGCACTATTGTACAGCTCCTAAAAACAGATAAATAATTTTTTAAAATACGCCAAACTATAAATTCACAGATTATAAATTCACATATTGTATAAATACTTTCTAGTTTGAGTGTATAAAGATAACTGATGAAAAAAAGCTTTTTGATCATATTTGCAGATACTAAATTAAAAAAAAATATGTAGAGCACAATTCTCCTTTGGTTGGAAATTAAATATATTTAGGTATATAGCAGAGACTATACTACAGCTTACTAATGCTTTGTTAAACTGGTTAGTTGCAATGATCTTGGTGCTTTCAAACATATCGTTACCAGGACCAAACGCCACACACTGTTCATTCTAAAACAAAAGTAGGTTAATGATTCTAATTAAAAAAAGGTTCAATAAATAACAGGAATAGTTAAAAAAATTCAAATAGCCTAATTTTTAAAAAAAATATGAATTTATAGCTCAGGAAAAACTGACATTTAAATTTTTTCAACATGTGATTTGAATTATACTGTTTTTCTAAAACCAATTATTTCTATCAAATGCTTTCAATTCATTCTAGAACTAGATGCCATTTTATTAAATACAATTTAACAATTTAATGGAGGCGAGCGAGTTGACGAGATTCCGTCCCCAATGTTGTTGACATGGAATAAAAACGTGCTTTTTAGATTTAGACCGTAAAAAAAAAATAAAAATAAAAACTTAAGCCTAAAATTAATTTAGAAATTTTATATTTTTAGAATAAATGTTATAAAAGTTGCAAATCCAGAGAACTTGAAAATAATTTGTTGAGTTTAAGGCTACATTTCTATTTATTTTCATCAAGCCTAAGTTATAACCGGATGTTTCACTTTCGTAAGACAAATATTGATTGGCTGTACAGTAACTTAGTGATCGATAACTATTTGTTTACAAAACTTTGCAGATCAAGTTTTTAAATAACAATGCAAATTTAAAACCCCATGACCTAGTTTTCTATTTTTAGCTTACAATGTGTACAATAAAATCAATGGCTGCCTATCCAATAGCAGGATGCCATTGTTTATGTCGCCATTACACGTGAAAACCAAATTGTTTTTGCTTTTTTTTAAATTTTTATTTAGTTACCGAAAATATTATAAACATCAAATACATCCAATCTTTAGTAAAGTCCGAAAAAAACCAGATAGACAGGATTTTATAACCATATTAATTGTAACTACGCTGTGCATGATTTTTAAATGAATTTATACACCTCTCAAATACCTTTGAGACTTTTCTCGCTGGTGTCCATTAAGTCAAACATATTTTCCTTTTCTTTTTCATGTTTTTTTTACACCAATTAATAATAACTTCATCTATATTTCCATTTTAAAATAATTTAACAAAATTGTGAACATATTTATACATTTTTAATGAATGATGCCAAGCTATTTCAACCCACACTGTAGGTTCTTGGTGTAAAGAAAACAACTTACCCTTCCATTGCAAGTACTTGTGTCTCTATCACATGGCAAGCCTGTATCCAGACAATGAGGCCCTTTAGTATTGGGAGAGACATCCCCTAAATTACTCTGGGCAAATGCTGCTACAAACTGGCCCTGAACATTTAATTGTTATAGAACATTTCAATATGATATCAGAAGAACAATATAAAACAGAAATTGTGTTTAAAACAGGCATATACAATATTAGAATGAGCACAGTAAATGTGGGGATAAAAAATTCATATTATGAATAAAAAATGTTGACCTTTCCTGGCAGTGCTCCTGGGTTTAACTGCTGCTCAAAGAGTAAGGAGGCATAACCCTTGTTATCAGAGGTCAGCAGCTTGTTTGTGTTGTTCATGCTAGTGCAGTGAACTGCAAACCAGCTGAAATATTCATTTATAATTATACTAACACCATGTAGCTAATATTTATTTTAGACCTTTTCATATACTAGGCCTACTTTAAATGGCTAATTAAAAAAAGCACTACCTTAAAAAAGCAGGTAGAAAGCTTGAAATTAAAGATATTGCCATAATTTGAAGATTATTAAATTTGAATCCCTTTCTGTTTCTAGCTGAATGTTACAATTTACTATTAAATATTTTTTTCCTTCTGATTATTTTATTACATTCTAACTCTATGCTCTGTAATTACTAAATTAGTGTAAAAAATTGTTTTGGTGCAGTAAAATCCCAGACTATTCCAAACCAAAACCCGCCTCTAGGTACTTGACATACTGGCATCCAACAAAAAAAGTAAAACAGACATTTAGACATGCAGAATACTTTAATCACCTGATCATGCCTATTCCTTTTCCCGCACCATCAACTATCTTTAGAACAACAAAATCTTTGTCAACATCATATTTATACCTAAGTAGAATAATAAGGAGTGTGTTTACATATTTATTAGCATGCATTAAATATACAATTTTTTTTTAACATGACAGTAACATAAATTGGTTACATTAAATTGATGATTTTTTTACTGTAATGTGTTTTCTACTTTGTCTTTTAGTATACCCGAAGTGACAAGTTATTTTTACTTAGCTCTCTCAGCCTCAGGATTGTTAAGATAAGCTGTTGGACTGCGGTTGATGTTGGAATCTAAAAGCTCTCCACTGTTCATGTAGATGTCAGCTGGCTGCAGGGACTTGTGGGCTTGGTGGATACTCTGAGGGTCAATTAGCAAAACATGATGGAACACAGTTTTAATTACACTATTACCTACTTCAGGAAGTTTTTATTACCTGCAGTGTTCCATTAACAAGAGCCTCAAAATTCTGCTGATTGAATCCAAAAGCTGTGAGATCATACAACAAATATTGGCTGAATCCCCCAGCACCACCATGTGTGTGGATCCCACTGACAGCAACATTTCTCTCTGTGTATAGTTCACCATAAACTAACTTCAACTGCTTGACAACCTAGAAATAATCAGAACATCTTTTAGGTATGTAGTATTGTAACTTGCATAAATACCAAACATAAAAACATTACTTTGAATATAAAATCTGAAAATTCTCTAAATTACCGAATTAAAAACCATAAATCTCATTAATTAAATAATTACTGAATGCCTACTTGTTGTTTCACTGCACCAGGTGACCAGCAAGCATCAAGACTAACAAATACTGATCTAGCACTGGTTGGGGATGTAGCGAAGATGAATGCTCGACTAAACTGTCTGAGATGTATGCCATGGCTAGTTTGTCCAGGGTTAGCATAACCCATCTGAAAAAACATAGTTGTCATTCAGCACCAGAGGCGTAGCGACCTCTCTCAGCGCCCGGGGATAAACTTTCAATTTGGACCCCCCCCCCCCCCCCAATATTTTTTATATTTATAAAATAGCATCTAAAATGAGCTTATTTTGGCGCCCCTAGGGTCGGCGCCAGGGGACATATGTACCCCCGCCACTACACCTCTGTTCAGCACTCAGGACAATTTTAAAAAGTATTAAATATTTAAATAGGCTACAAATAATTATTTGAAAAATAATGAGGTAATGAAAAATTAAGAATGTTACACTACACTTTCCTGTTTGATTGTAGTTTTAAGTTGTTTCATGTGTAAATTAATGTTTAGTACAGATAAGCTAAAAACTCATGTATTCTTATAGTCAAAATCTGAGGCTATAATATAAATTATAATATAACTAAAATTAAAAAAAAAAAACCCTGAATATAAGGGAAATTCAACTACGAGATTTGGTAACAAATTTGTCAATCTGGCAACTTGGTTTTAAAACTGGATTTGTATTTCGAAATTTCTAAATCAATTTATACTCATGCATCTATCACATTATAGTCAATCTACTTACCATATTAACCTGTGCAGCTGGGCCTGTGATATCTCCAATACCCGTTCCTACATAATAATTTGTAGCCAAACACGTATTACACAAGAGTAATAAAAATATTGTTTGGAAAACCGAAAGTAGACCCAAACGAATAAATGCCGACATTTTCAACTATTTGGTCATGTGACTGACAAGTTGATAGCTCCCTTTATGCGATACTAAATTCTAAATCCTACAAATAAAAAACTAAGCTTAATAGTACTTAATACATTTATATTTATTTATATAAAAATGTTTAATTCAACCAATAACACTGTTTACATTTATATAGAGACTGGTGGTAGCAACCTTCAGTTATAGGCCTACTATTATTATAGGCCGAAAGGAAAGATAATTGAACTTGTCTGTTAGTAAAAGTATCTCTTGAAGTTAGTTGAGGGCAATTAATTCGTTTAACAGAGAGCCTTTCAACATACGTTATTATCTCAATCTTGGTAACAGTAATTGCCCACTTGCAAACTGTAATCACAAAGATCTTTGATATTAGTTTTTCATGTATATTCATAAATATTGTATAGTAAGAATTCAAAAGATGTAATTATACACAGTGGCGTAGCCAGGATCGTCTCAAGGGGGGGGTTCCAATTTTTACCCGGGGACAAACTTTCGATTTGCACCCCCCCCCCCCTCAAACTTTCGATTTGCACCCCCCCCTCAAACTTTCGATTTGCACCCCCCCCTCAAACTTTCGATTTGCACCCCCCCCTCAAACTTTCGATTTGCACCCCCCCCTCAAACTTTCGATTTGCACCCCCCCCCCTCAAACTTTCGATTTGCACCCCCCCCTCATACTTTTTATATATACCGAGGGGTCTATGGGGGGGGGGGGGGTTATGACCCCCCCTAACCCCCCCCTGCCTACGCCACTGATTATACATCATTTCATTGGTGCAGGGAAGAAGTAGTTATTGGGGGAGGGGCGTATACGTTCAACTTTTTCTCATATGGACATAGCGTACATTACTGATGGTGCCTTTTTAGACGCGAGACCTTGTTTTCTAAAACTGAGTTGTATAAATGTAAACAAAGCAGTTGGATCATAGTTGTTGGGGTGCGGGTTTATCAACACTACCGCCTAGACGTCCTGTAGCATGCTGTATGAGAATCTTGAGCAGTGTTTCTTCCAGACTTTTTTCTCCAGGGGGGGGGGGGCACTTGAAATTTTCGGGGGGGGGGGGGGGGGGGTGTAGACTTTCTTCGGGGGGGGGGGGGGGCGGACACTGTTAAAAGTATATATTTTCTATATAAATTATATAAATTTCATTTCGTTCGGGTCGGGGGGGGGGGGGGGGGGGGGGGGGCGGTAAAATTGAGATGCCTGGAAGAAACTCTGATCTTGAGTGTACGTTTATCCCTCTAAGCAATAATGAGTTAAAACACGCCCCAGCAACCACCCACATGTCAGAGGCATCGCGGGGCGTTCTCGGGAGCCGCCACACTACCTCAAGGGCGCCGGTCACGGCCCTTCTTTCAGTTAAAGTATCAAATGTCATGTGCTACCTTGTCCCAAGTTTAGGGTGCTCTTTAAAATGAATGAAGGCACCATAGTGCTTATGGGGAGGCCCGTGGCACTGCAGGTAACCCTGCCGCACGCAGACGCGCCTGTTTCGATTTAGCGAACGATTATAGTAGCCCGTCGTATCCATAGTGTTGCACTCTTTAAAACGAACATCGGTGCTACAGTGGTGTTGGGTTTTGTACGATTGAGGAAGAGACAAAAAACAGCTGGGCTCACATGGGCACAGATTAAGGGAGCAGCCCTAAAACCGAGTCCGCTGGAAATGTGTAGTTGCAGCCCTGTGCTCCCCAGGGGCCACAAAGGAATGATGATGATGCTACAGTGGTTATGGAAAAGCCTGCAGAGGCAAATCACACTGTCGTGGCGCCGCCCCTTCGAAACTTGATTCCTCCCCCCCCCCCCCCCGCAGATGGTAACGTCATAAAAACTACCCCTGCCCCCCCCCCTCCAAAAAACCGATGTCACACTTTGGCAGACCCCCCCCCCCCCACCTCATTTTTCGTTTATTTAGCATAAGGATTTATAGGCAGGCACGGGCGATTTGGTCAAAAATTGAAAATATCAATCAAGGTATTTCCTTTTGCATACAAAAACAAATTAATTCAGCGGATGGAAATTTTAGCAAAGCTGAGTCAGTATTAGATTCATTGATTATTTAAAACGTTATTAAAAAAAAAAAGTAAAGTAACTACTTAAAAATGACCTCTGTAAATAGCAGTGTGACATTACTTTCTTTAGCCTATGATAAATAGCAGCAAAGTTTTAATTTTAACTTTGTATGATTATCAGTCAGCAATATATTTTCACATGATAATTAAAAAAAAAGTTGTCAGGCTACCATTTAAACCACTACAGGAAGAATTTTGTAGGATAAATAAATTACCAGAATTCTTATAACTTTCATAATTTGCAGTTTTTTTCAACCTGTTTATTTTTCATATTTCTTTTCACTCACGGAGTTGGAACAAACCATCTGCATGCTCAGGCATAAGTAGTTAGAGATTATACATCTTCTACTGGAGAGATGGGAGACAAAACTATGTACTAGATGTGGTAAAATTAAGTCAGTATGTAGAAGCCCACATGTCAATGTCATCACTATACCAGGGAATTCAATTTGTGTAAAGTTCCTGGCAAGCGGAGGATAAGACGCTCTCCTCTTTACATGAGAGGATAAGCTGGCCTGCTTTTTGAGGCTAGTAATTATTGCAGCTATTTGAGAAGTCAGATTGGTTAACTACAACCTACATCAAACATGAAATAAAACTCTGAGACTTGCAAATACCTGCATTTTTCTTTCAAGAACATTTATGTTGTGATTATTTCTAGTTTGTCAAGCAATTAGCTATTAATGGAATCATGATGATGCTGAGAGATTCAGCCAATATTTGTATTTCACATTTTAAAGATACATAGCAGAAAATAAAAACAAAATCTGTTAATACACAATTTATTGATGATGAAGATGAAGTATGAATGACATATTTCTCAACAATACATATTTTCTGTGTAAATAACCTACTCATGTGCCTCAGGTTCAAAAGATTTTTAATAACTAATGTCTGTATTATTTCAGACCAAAAAGAGTTAAATTGAGATAACCCAGAAAACCTGAGTAGAGTCCCTTTATCTGGTGACCTCCAGATTTAGCAGTACTTGGATCAAGAGGCCACCCAGTCCTTACAACATGAACAACCCTTGAGTGACAAGAAATTTCCTTTCATTCCATCAATGGAGAAACAATGAACATAAATGAACATAAATGCACCTGTACTGACCATGTCATGTACTACATGTAGAGATTCATTATGTACAATATTTACATTCCTCAGTCAACACCATACATGATGCTGCTAACCTGAACTAAGATTATACAAATCTATTATAAAAACTCCATAGTGATTATGGTTTGAACCAAATCATTTCAGAAGTAAAAAAATGTAATTAAGGGATAGCTTTGCCCATATAATTAAAAATGTTTACAAAAAATTTTGAATGCCGAAAAAAAAAATAATGAGTTCTGCTATTTTAGTGAGAAAATGTGGGATAAAGAATTCACTAGAGCAGTGTCTGTCAATTATGTGTCTTCCACATACAAAAGTCAGTTTTTATAGCACAGAAAAAAAAAGGTTATTTACATTGTCATCACAAATGTACATTCTAATTGATATTTTACAAATAGTCATATAAAAAAAATGTAAAACTATTTAAGAAAGTTTAAAGACACACATCTACAATTAACATGGATGGATTAACATTGACAGATGGCCAGCTGTCTCAGTTCATTCCTGCAGGTTTCTTTCCTCCATGGAACTCTTCAATACACAAGTGACAACTCCAGCTGCCTGTAAAGTAGAGAAAACAAAACCAGACTTAGATTGAGAAAGAGAATATAATTATAAACTCCAAATAAAAGCTGGTAGCCTAAATACTGAATGGTTTCTATGGTTGGGAGAGAACGTATGATTGTAAATTCCAAAAATATCCAGTTTGGACTTCAGGCAGATGAGGCTTGGTAGCAGGGACAGCAACCTTATCTAAGAGCAAAAACTCCAAAATAAAAATAATTGCTGCCTTGCCGATTGTGAAAAAGGGGGGGGGGGGGGGGAAAGAGTGTTTTAAAGCAAATATTTTCAGTGGCAGCATTGGAACTGTCGAATTCACAAATTATGAATTACTGAAAAGTAGAAAATAAAACAACTAAATAGCGGCGTATGATACGCTGCGGGTCGGCTCGTTGGTGTAAAAAAAAGAAGCAATGGAGCAAACCTTCTGGTGGCTCTGACAAGGGTGGGTTCAGGCAATACATGTGGTATCCTCTGTCACAATCATCACAAAACAGCAGCTGGTCCTGTAAACAACAAACACAGCTCAGAGTTACTTTAAGACTATGTGCATTCAAGTGATAACCAAAGGGATATAACTCGGTCACTTGTGATGGCTAATGATTCAACAAATAAACTGAAACAAGACAATCCACTTACATCATTGTCAGATGTGCCACATAGACCACAAGATTTACATTCAATACACTGCCATGGATATTTTTTCACTGATATGATCATGTTGTCTGTAAACTGCAGGCAGGATGGGTGGCCTGAAAAAAGTCCCAATAACATTTACATTAAATGTACCTAGAAATTTCTTGTTCCTTACATTAAATAAAATATCCTAACAATAGTATGACAGAAAAAACAAACGGTAGGAGTACTATAACATCCTAACAAATGATGTTAGAAAAACAAATGGTAGGTGTACTATAACATCCTAACAAATGATGTTAGAAAAACAAATGGTAGGTGTACTAAGACCCAGCCACCTGAACGTCCACAATCACTGCAGGACACAAGTTCCTCTGCCACTTTTGTTTTCTTGTTCTCGGCTGCATCCCCCAGACAGAAGTCACAGTAATTATTAGCTGAGACCTTTGCTCCATTGGCTGAAGATTTACTCGCTGCTTGAGGGAAGACGTGGAATAACATTAACATTTATCTCAGACACAGCTTCTAAATCAGCATTTACAAACACTTGCAGAAGACAAGATGGCATTAATTTTTGGTAAATTTTTGAATATTTTAATTTAGTTATGTATTAAGGTTTTTACTACAACCTACTATTTTTAGCAACAAAAAAAAAAGATAAATGTTGTCACAATGCTAATGTACACATAAATTAAATATAATTTTTAGTGATTGGAGGAAATGAATTAAAAATGTTTGAACAAAATGTACTGAATTTGTTTCAGGTATAAAACAAGGAACACAGTTAGTGCAGATGATGAGGTGTTATAAACATGATGAAAAGTGGATAATGAAACACAGAGTAGAAATGGTGAGCATTGGTGACATCTAGTTAGTTACAACAACTTATCTACTTAATGCTTCTGTCAACTCGCCAGTCTGGTTCACTAAGTGATGCTAGGGTTCAAAGGGCAAAATGGCCAACCTTTTTTAAAAGCTCCCCTCTCTACATGTTGGACTTGAGGTATAATGCTCATCTTTTCTAAAGCAGGAAGGGTAATGGCATGTATGCACACAAAGAAGGTGGTATTGGCCACAGCATAGTTCAAATAAACTAAAACTACTCACACTAATCAAAGAATTAACTCAATATAAATCAAAATCTACAAGAAATATTGTATTTCTACTTCTAATAATTATGAAATTATTATCTGGCATTGAATGTAATTCTCAAGGATTTTTCTAGTTTTGCTAGTTTAGAATTTAGGCTTAAAATGTTTGTGACTTGTGTAAAATTCAGCCTATTTAGATTGTATGAAATATGACACAAGGCACTGTGGATTACCTTTCCCGTTTGAAGCCGATGTTTCACCACGAGTACGTTTTGTGCTTTTAGGTACGTATTCTGTTGTCAGTCGAGAAAGAAAAATACAAAACGTTATGAGATGAAACAAAGAAAGGATTTAATGGAGGCCAAGAGAAGTTATGAACAAGAGAAACAATGAAATATTCTGAAACCTAATGTGAAGAAAAAACACACTTTTAAATAAATTTAATGAAGTAATTATTTGCCACTCTAAAAAGTAAATATTAACTCATTTTTCTTCAGATTAACTTTCAGGAGAAAAATAATGTTATTAATACAATTTTAAATGAACAATATTTAATTTAGAAAGTAAGATTCAACTTTGGAGAAAACTAAACTTTTACTGGTTATGTTTCGGCACTTTTAATTCTTACTCTGAAACTAAATTTTATAATTAATTTAAGTGTTACAATTAAATCACATTTTTGTAAACAAAAAATGTATTATGCAAATGCTTTTCATATACATTATAAGAGGGTTGATTATACAAATAATAGGCTAGGAAGTGCAAATGATAAAATAAGAAGCAGCAAGTTACACCAAGACCCCAGAGTTAGAAGAGTTTTTAAAATCCTCCTATTTAATAGACTAATGGATGGCTCTCTGAAAGATAAAACAGGCCAATTTGCCCAATCATAATATTGAGCAGTGGGAGATTGGTGTATTTGAACATTTAAGAAAGAAAGTACACAATTTTGTAAATGGTACAACTTATGTCATTTATATGGGCTCAATGCATTGTAAAATATATGTAACAGTTTAAACACTGGCAAAAAAACTTTGTCACTTAAACAAAAGTAATTAATTTCTTAACTTAAAACTTTAGGCATTTTAAAGTATCCAATGTTAAAAATGGTACTTATAGGCAATCAAATGTTGTATTGAATACATCTTGCTATGTTGAAATAATGTGGAACTGAGTAACCTTTTTGAAGGATCAATTACACTGAACTTTGTTAGAAATAAAGAAACCCTTCACTTAGGATTATTGTGGTTTATATTTCTTTGTACCAATTTCAAACAGAAATTTTTTAAAACATCCATTAATAGTCACATGCATATGTCATTGTTTGAAATTATTATAAATAATAATTTGAAGAAATTGGGAAAAGATTAACTTTCTGAATAAATATTTTCATTTCTCACTAAGAGCATTAAAATTAAAGTTGTAAAGAATATTTATTAAAACTTAGACCACATTATAAAGAATGTACTCATTCAAGTTGACATTCTAATTGGTGTTACCAATAGATCTTTATTTTCTCTATAAAGTTAACAAATAAACTTGAAAGATTTATTGATAAAACTTATAGTCATTTGTGTAGTTAGTTGTTATACACAGATCCAGAGCCATGCTAGGACTGGAAGCAGGAGACCACCAAACATCGACAACTAGCAAATACAAATGCTTTGTAGAACAAAACTATAACCAAAGCGAGATGAACACAAAACATGCAAAGCTTGTGTAAAATAAAATGCTAAGCTAAGCGAAAAGAAAGAAAATAAAAAAAAGCAAGAAGGGTGAATGTGCAAGGCAGGTCATGACAACACGGTAATTGTGTTATCAGCACTGAACCTGAGTTTGCACGGCTCGGCGGTTTTGGCGACGGCGTTCTACTCTCCTCATCCATCATGCCGTTGTGGAAGTGAGAGTAGTGGTATGCCAGCCCAGGCCGCGTTTTGTAGCGGGCCCCACAAGCTGCAAACAATATAGCATGACGTCATTCAGTAATGGGTGAGTGTGTGGCAAGTGATCTCCATCAACCAAAAAATTATAAACAAGTAATAAAAAAAAAATCAGGAGTACAAACAATGCGGCTTTGTCAGTTCTTGCAAGTCACAAAAAAAAGGAGGGAAAAAAAGCTATGTCATAAGAAGAAGAAGAGAAAAATACTCCAGACTAGACAAATAGAAAAAAACCTGTAAATACAGAAAAAAAAAGCCTGACCAGACCACCATACCTTTTCTCCTTCCAACTGAGGATTTAAAGCATATATGCATATACCAGTTAGCTATGAAATGGCTGAGTGTCAGGCACAATGAATGTCAGGTATGGTGCTTGTGATGCAGTGACTAGGTGTACACACACACACAATGATACTCTTCCTACCAGCTCTCTACAACATTTCCCTTTCCAAAGCAAAGTTATCAGTACAATAAATAGAGACAAAATACTGCGGCACTAGGTCTAACATACTTGGCTGCCACTACGTGTTTAAAGGGCACAGAGCACTGAGAGAAGAAAATTAGTGACTACAATAAAAAGTGCTCCATGCCCATTCACCCTAAACAACAAAATGCACAGAGAACAAATTAACCTGATCTACGACTGACTTGTTCAGTAATGCTTAATTTAATTTAATCTACAGGGGATATAAGATAATATTTACTGTAATTAGATGATAAGATTTTATTGTCTTAATAAGTAACATGAACACAAATTTGATGGCTTATATTCATTTTAAAATTTTCAAATGTGATTTAGTTTTCAACACCAGTTAATGATAAAAGTTTATTTATAATCACAAAAATAAAATAAAAATATTGGTTGTTGCTAAAACCATTCAAATTGGTAGAGTATTTATTTTAGGGTCCTGTTTAAGATACTGGCTAATCTGTACTTTCTGTTTACTGAGCAGAGATAAAAAAAATGTATTTTTAAAAACTATGAAGTGAGCTAACTGAGATGTTTTTAATGATGCACATTTTAATAAGCAAAACAAATGGCAAACTAGGGCTGTTTGGAAGGGCACTACTCACCTTCACACGAATAGGGTTTCTCTTTGTCTTCAGGATTTAAGAGTTCTTTACTATGATCTTCATTTTTTTTCTTTCTACCTTTGCCTGTATTCTAAACAAATAAATAGAAAAAAAATGTTTTTAACACAAGAAGATTGTTTTGTAAAAAAAATTATATGTAACCATTGCAATGTCTCTTGCCTTTTTTCTTTTTCTTCCTTTGAGTGAATCTTCAAAGTCACTAATATCAGACTGATCGTCAACCATTGCACCATCATCTGGTGGCTCACCAAAGTCATCAACATCATCATACCAGCCATCTGTTGCCTCTAGATGATCAAAATCATGTTCGTCTAAACGATGAGCTGGATTTTCTATTGCATTGATCTGATGCATATCTACAGAAAAAAAAATTAATAGTAAGTAATAACAAAATAGTATATATTTTAAAATAATATATATTAAAATAGCTGTAACGGAATTTATAATATTCATAAAAGAAAAGCTGTTATTAAGGTAAGTTCATTAATTTTTAGAAGAAAAGAACTTTTTAAATAATAGTATTTTTGAAAAAGACCAAAGTAGATGAAAACCTGAATGAGGAATCCTGAATACCATTTTAAACATTTTCATATTTTAGTTGTTATGATACTATAATTAAATATGAAATGATCTACCATTACACTATCAAAATCTTGTATGGTATTTAAATGTTTTTATAAAGTATTTTAAAAAAAAAAAGTATTTTATGCAGTTTAGAGTTAAGATAACAGTTATTTAAAAGGAGATCTAGACATTTTCCCTTTCAGGCCTGGCAGAATTGTATGACCAACCACCTCTATTTTGCCTAATGTGAAACATGTGCCCATCTGAGCTGGTTGGACTCAGATATATCTGTTGGTCCTTGCTTAGAATCTGAGACCTTTAGGTTTGCAGTGGTGTGATCTACCATCTGACAATGCTATCCCATATAAAATCTTTCTATTCCATTAAACTTTAAATGACTGTACAAAATAACTGAAAATTGGCCCTAACATTGTTTACCAGGGTCGCCAGTTTCAATTTCACCATTAACACCAGTTCTACGCTCTGAGAACAGGAATGATCTCTTTTTCTTCTTCCATCTTTTTGCTGGATAAGTAAACAGTTGTCCTTCAATTGTACCTGAAAAACAAAGAATACAATTTAAAATATTTTTTTAATATATTTTTCATACTGCTTACTCTCCAAAGGTGGACTGATTTATGTAATGTGTCAAAATATGGGTGCAGTAACACATTTCAACTTTGAAAAATTCTGAGTACAAGTTGTTTTACTACATCTACATTATACTTCATTGTTCAAACAATTGGACAAGGTGTAACAACCTTGTTTCAACATTCTTCTCTTAAAAAAACCAATAACACCACATCTGTTAAAGAAAACTGTTGTGCAAACATACCAGGAAGTCTGTGTCGATATGGGTGAAAGAGATTTGTGTGTCTTTGAGCAACGCCTGTCTGTGAGTCCAGAAATGGAAGTCTCATTTTTCTTTCGATGGACAAGCGAGTATTAAAGCTAGCAGTTTGTTCTAAAAGATCCATGTAGCGTTGTTCTGTGGGCAAGCTAGAAAACAAAAAAAATTTTTTTTTAATTTATGGATTACATCTTTTAACCCAGGTAGCTTTAAGAATGTGAGGTTTATGGATGACTCCCTATGCTTAAATATTGAATAGCCAAACTTTTCAGTTTTTCAGAATTATCTGACTCACATAGTTTCATAATATTAATTTCAAATCTAATGTTTTAACAAGGAAAACCTAGATTTTGTATAGAAATAATGAGATCCTGCAAGACTTGCAGTGTTTCATTCATCCCAGTGAGGACCTCTCGCACAAAAAGCCCTATTGAAAAAACAGGAACAGCTGGCCCAACCATTATTTAGGTCAATGTTAATGTGGTGTCAATTTTTTAAACTATACAAATCTTAATAAAATATGTTCAACTCTGCAGGGATAAAGCTTTGGGAATATCAAGGCGATATCAAACATTGCTAAAATACTTGGCGTTTAGAATTAAAACAAAAATTAGGGGTAAATATTAAAAAAGAATGTTTTCAGATTCTGTGTTTTTAAAACATTTTTGGACTCTCATTTAAAAATGGCCAATGCTAGCCGGAAAAAGATACGCATGCACAATGGAGGGAAACTACGACTTGCCTTTGCGGCAATGTTTTGGATGGTACTACGCATGCGTGTGTTTACAACCGCAGAACCCTAGGCCTAACCCCAACCCTATCCCTAATCCTAGCCCTGGCCTAACACTATCCCTAACCCTGGGTCACTGTGCATGTGCAGAACTATCTTTTGCCGACTAGGTGGAGACGGGACGATAAATCTTTTTCCGAGTAGTCACTTTGTTTAAAAATTTAAACTAAATAGGCCTAAGTGCCAAATAATAAATGTTGATATTGCCTAACAATTGAGTATTAACTGTCGGTCGTAACTGAGCTAAAATTTAAAAGACTCACTGAAACAAAAAGTAAAAAAGTTAACAAAACTGAGTGAGTGGAGCAGAATCTACATTACTCAGAAACTAAACCGTTCCGGAAAAACAACGAAGCTACAGGGTTTTTACCAAACTATTTATCTAGAACTAGGCGAACTAACTTTTATTAAAAATTAACTTTTTAAGAAAATGAACTTTTGGCCTAATTATAATTATTTACCATGATTGAAGAATGACAGAGGTCTCCCCAGCCTCTGACGCCATGTTGACATCGGAAAATTAAAAATTTAGATCTAAACTACACTGGCTCGTATTTAAAATATAGAATCATAAAAATAACAAAATAAAACTCTTGTCTCGGTCGACATATAAAATCTAAGCTAGATAAACCCAGAAATCATTAGGGATTGTGCACAAATAAATTTATTTTTGCACAATCCCTTATGATCCAAAATATAGGGCTATAGGGCAGCGTGGTGGTTGATTATTTTGTTATATTGTGTTATATTGTGTTATATTCCTCGACGTTACAATCCATGTTGATCAAGCAGTCGGACGTGTAAACTATCCCGACCAAAACTGCCCCGACATAAAGAGTAAAAAAGGCCAGCGACAAATGGACCCCCGTCATTTAGGCTCCGGACAAATAGGCTCCCTTCACTACGACTCCCAAGAAAGGGGTCATCCATAAATGACGTCACGTTTTTAAGACGAGTTTTACCTCCCCCCCCTCTGTCACACGTCGTCTCAAAAAGCCAGACCCCCCCCCTAAAATGACGTCACACCTTAGCCTACACCCCCCTCAAAATTGCTGTTGAATTTTTTTTTAAAACATCGATATTTTTTCCAAAATCTCGACTGAACTCTGTCAAAATAGAGTATTTTGATCAATTCCTATTACAATTTATTAAAACAGTTTTCTAAAACGCGAAATAACAGCCAAAACTCTTTTTCTAACATAGGATTTTTATAATTAAAAAAAGTGACGTCACACCATCTGAACCCCCCCCCCCCTCCCGTCATCACACACCGTCACAAAATTACGGACCCCTCCCCCCCCCCCCTTCGAGTGTGACGTCGATTATTTGTGGACGACCCCAACTAGTTATTTTGGCTCCCGACAAAAGGGCTCCATTCATTAGGAATCCAGACAAAAGGGTCCTGTCAATACCGTTCCCGTAGAGACAATAAGTCTCGCCGCGAAACGGCGTAATTCAAAATGTCCCCTGCCAGTAGAACCCCTTCATCTACTCTTCAAAGTTAAATTTAAACTAAACCCGCAATACAACGGTCTTGTTCGAAATGCTTTTTTTTTACATTATTTCATCAAGTAGGCGTTTAAGAAATATTATGTTTTTAAATTTAAGGGTCATCTAGTTATGAAGTCCATTAAATTAACTCTAGAGTTAATAAAACATTCTCAACATTTTCAAATAAGTGGAACTGTGCTGTTAAAAGCTTGATTTTTAAAATGAATTGCTGTAGGTTCACGAATAGAAGTTTTTTTTAAAATTCAAGCATTTAAAAGAGGTTATGGTGGTAGTAGAGCCAAGTATGGAGACAATGGTTACGTCTATTCAAAAAGTAGTCATTCGATTTAGTTGTCGGGAGCCAATATGGCGTGAGCCCATTTGTCGGGAGTGCAAATGTACGGTAGCCAAAATGACGATAGCCCATTTTACGGGAGTCAATATGACCAAGATATTTTGACTGAGTCGTTTTGTCGGGGACAAATCGGCTAAAATCGCCCATGCCATTTACCAACTACTCCCATCGGAAAAAAAATTAAATGATACAAAGATTTCATGAGTTTTCTAAACGAATATTTATATGCATATTATAACATTTGATACATGATATTTTACAGTCGTTACTTCATTTAAAATTTAATTTTGACAAAACAGATAGACTATATTAAAATGATCTTAGATCTAACGACCGAATAGTACATATTTTTTTAGTGTCACATTGAAAAATCCCGTTGAACCCTTTTCACAATATTTATCTGGCAGTCTAGGTTATCAACAACAACAAAATAACAGGATTACTAGCTAAAGAAGTTACACGCTCATGCTGAGACAGCATGTAACGAAAATGATAGAACCTTACTTTCAGAAATATAAATATTTGGTTAATGAATGTTTGTAAAATTACAACAACTACACATCTAGAATATTAAATCTGATTTGTGATTTGATTAATTGATAACTGGACTAAAATAAAATGTCCAACGCAAACACGACAAATAACAGGTACAGTCAGTCAGTTGAATAGAGTCGCTGAGTCAAATCAAAGACAAAGTAAAAAAAAAAAATTAAAAGAAAGTGGAATCATGGAATGGTAGTGGTACAACTACTTAATGATTAAGTCTTAATCTACTACTAGATTATAATCTCCTAGATCTAGGCAATAGTAGGTGCAGGAGTTTTATCTGACATCATTGGAGAGATGTATGTCGAATGATTTAATAAAATTTTAATTAATTAGTTTAGGGCAGGGATAGAAGCTTTCTTGATGTAGAAAGGGGTGGGGTTTAATCATTATGACACAAAAATGCAAGTATGATGTTTTTTTGTGATAGGCATGACCCAAAATATGTGAGGAGTCCATTTTTGAGTGTGAAAAATCTTGTAGTTTAGTCTAGATGGTAGGGGTTGACGTGGTCGAGTCGTTAAAGCTCATGGTTGCCAAACCCAAAAGCCTCGAGTTTGAACCCTCGGGCAGATAAGGCTCATTAGCTGGGGACAGCCACTCTTCTAGGAGAGACAGCTGCCTTGTAGTTTGTTCTTGGTAGGACAAAGGCTATGGAAGCAAATCCAAAAAGAAAAGCAGGCTGAAATCTGAGTCATTGGCCTCAATGGCGCATAACCAGTTGACACGTATACCTAATTGTGTTGGAGGAGATCCCCTCTAACACTAAAATTAAGAACGAAGAAGAAGAAGAGTCTAGATGGTCAATCAAAGCGGATGTTTTAAAATGTTCATTCTATTTCATCATGTAACTTAAACCTCTCTTCCATTTTGCTGTGTCATTTGTTGTGCAAATCATGACAAGTTCTTTGTTGTATGTGAGGTCTTGTGTTGAGACCTTAGACTGTTTAGATCAAGTGGCAATGGAGTAGTATATGAAGCTCAACTGTGGTTTCTACTAGGCCTCACAGTGAGGCTGTCAGCAATATGTTCCACTCCCATATTCATGTGCAATAAATAACATACCTATAAATAGCAATAAATAAAATACTTTTAAATAGCAAAAAAACCCTATCAATAAATAACATACCTATAAATAATGGTGCTATTTCGGGGAAAATGTATTTCTTCTACAGTATGACAAAAATGTTTGCGGAGAAACAAAAAAAGACTAGCCCTAAACTCCCTAAGCCTAAGCCTAATCCTAACCTTACCCTACACCTTACCCTACACCTAACCCTAACACCATGTCTAACCCTGACCCACAAGTCTAACTTAAGTTAGATCTAATACTTTAAAAAATAAATTATTAATTAATTAGCACTAATAAAATAAAATAACCTACAATTAAGACAAATTTTGAACCCAAAAATGATACTTGATAGCCGCCACACTATCGATTCTGGCCGTGCAGTGCTTGAAACAGTGTGCAAAAAAAAATAACAATATATTAAATGAAAAAAACCTCTCTAAAAAAAACTTGTGTTAAGAAAGTAAAAAAAAATGTTTGTTTATAAATAAAAGCTAAATATAGCGACCAGATGTTAGAGGATCTAAGCAAGCTGCATATTTCCTCTTTAGTTGGCAGATATAAGCACTTCCCCTATAAATAGCAATTTTATTGTGTGGGTTATTTTAATATGAACACCTAAGGTTCTTTATGTGATTGCAGGTCAGGGAGGAAAAGATCTCATCATGAGCTGGAAGATGGGGATGAAAGCTTGCCAATTTCTAAGCGCATCAACTCGCTTCATATTGAGTAAGTGAGAACATTACTTTCCTGTAGTCTGAAGCCAGTATGATCACTTGGGCTAGTATCAAAGTTTTGTTTAGTGCTTGCATTAGGTATATTTTAACTGTCACGCCCGAGTATCAACTTTAGCCTCAGCCTCTGGTTTATCACATGTGACTATACTATCTTTTATAAACATTTAAAACATTTTTTACTTCATCTTTATTGAATAAAAAACTACTTACAATTGTATTGGTCATTTGAAAACTATCTAAAAATTGACATTCAATATTCATTTCAGAGCTGGATCTCAAGTCTTTTCTCAGGTATGTGTTTCAAAAGGTTATGATATTGTGTAGTTTGATATTCTGTGTGATACTGTGTGACCAATAATTCAATAAGCTGTGTGATACTGTGTGACCAATAATTCAATAAGCTGTGTGATATTGTGTGACCAATAATTCAATAAGCTGTGTGATACTGTGTGACCAATAATTCAATAAGCTGTGTGATATTGTGTGACCAATAATTCAATAAGCTGTGTGATATTGTGTGACTGACATGTTGTCAATTCTTTCCCTCTGACTTTGCCTTGAATTGCCAATATTTGAGTTAAAACAAACCTACTAAATCCCTTACTCAGATGTATAATAAAGTTAAAAGTAGGCCCATTTATCTTGTAGTGAAGTAATTGTTTTGTTTTCTAAAATATCAGTATACTTTATCTTTTCTAGATGAGTCCCAATGAGAGCCATGCCAGATCATATCCTGCTTCAAGCATCAATTCTGTTGGAGGCAACACTCACTTTGAGCAGCAAGCCAATGGCCTGCCCATGGCTTGCAATGGAAACTTGAACAATGCTGCATGCACTCCCTCTAACGGGGCAGCACAGTTTGGTGTGGACCAAGCTAATGGTCCTGTGCATCCAAATTATCTTCACTCTATGAGTGAGCCGTACTCGTTGTACCCTAGTCATGTGTCAGCACCCTCCTCTAGTCACCAAGGACACCAGCAGCAAGGGTTCCCTCCTCCTGTGGGGTGTCCAGGAAACAACCAACAGTATCTTATGCCAGGACAATACTCAACCCCCATGGGGTTTTCAAGCTCTGGGACCCAGCCCGAACCATCCTCACCCTACCAGAGTGGTCTGCCTTCATCTTACTTCCAGAATGGCCAGAACCAGGTGTCTTACCAAAATGGCCAAAATTACCAAAATGGCCAGCTGTCACCATACCCCGCCAACCCAGCGGAGTGCCCGCCTTCGTCCTTCAGCTCCGCCTGCACCACTCAGCCAGGCGCGGGCTACACTCAGGAATTCCACCTCCAACAGTTACCGTCTGGGAGTTACGAGCCCGAGCTAGGGGTCAGGGAGAATCCCTACTACTTCTCCGTCAACCAGATGTTGTATGAGGCCCATCTAAGTCGTGTCAGACGCTTAAACCCCTACCCTTGCAATAACTAGACATGATGAGTCATGTCAGACGGTTAAATCCCTACCCTTGCAATAACTAGACATGAGTTTGGTGGGGTACCACATGATGGCAAACTATTCATAGCATTTTATTCTAATTTTATATTTATTTGCTATTTATTTTGTTAGAACAAGGATATATTGTTCACTCAAAACTTGTTACTTACACGTTTTTAGGTATTTCATACACAAAATCTTTCCATATTTGTTTACACAGAAGAGTCTGAGTCAAAATTTCCAGGGCCATTAATGACAACGGGCACAGAAAAACAAAAATGACATTTCCATATAAAGCACAGTAATTAACATTTTATAGTATATTTTACACTGAATACACTGTAATCATTTTTAAATAATGTGTTATTTATTAATTTTGAATTTTTAAAAATTATGAAGCATCAATTAATATAAAGGCTCATTAAGATCCTCATTACATAAGTACTTTAATAAAAAGTAACAATTTTTCAATAGTCCAATCTTACAGATGTATATCCTTTTTAAAGCTGTGTTAAATTCATGGGTGTGTAGAGTTGCCACATTGGCAAAATTTGTTTTCTCTTTTTCTGCTTTTTAGAATAACACATTTAAAAATTCATCTCTGACTCCCATTAACCCTTTGTCTAACATAGCCTTATATCTGTGATGTTAAAAAATTTAAAGGTTTTTATGACAATAGAAAAACACATATTCAGTGGTCATTTTTTGGGGAAATAAAATAACATTGTCATAATGTTAAACCTTTTTTTGGCCTGCATTGTTTTAGTGGTGGGGCTAACGTTAGGGTCAATTTTTAGGATAGTGCTGGGGTTAGGATTAGGCTCAATGTTGGGATTAGTTTTAAGCTCAGGTTTAATGTTTGGGATAGTGCTGGGGTTAGGATTAGGCTCAATGTTGCGATTAGTGTTAAGCTCAGGTTTAATGTTTGAGATACTGTTAGGATTAGGCTCAATGTTGGGATTAGTGTTAAGCTCAGGTTTAATGTTTGGGATAGTGCTGGGGTTAGGATTAGGCTCAATGTTGGGATTAGTGTTAAGCTAAGGTTTAATGTTTGAGATACTGTTAGGATTAGGCTCAATGTTGGGATTAGTGTTAAGCTCAGGTTTAATGTTTGGGATAGTGCTGGGGTTAGGATTAGGCTCAATGTTGGGATTAGTGTTAAGCTCAGGTTTAATGTTTGGGATAGTGCTGGGGTTAGGATTAGGCTCAATGTTGGGATTAGTGTTAAGCACAGGTTTAATGTTTGAGATACTGTTAGGATTAGGCTCAATGTTGGGATTAGTGTTAAGCTCAGGTTTAATGTTTGAGATACTGTTAGGATTAGGCTCAATGTTGGGATTAGTGTTAAGCTCAGGTTTAATGTTTGGGATAGTGCTGGGGTTAGGATTAGGCTCAATGTTGGGATTAGTGTTAAGCACAGGTTTAATGTTTGAGATACTGTTAGGATTAGGCTCAATGTTGGGATTAGTGTTAAGCACATGTTTAATGTTTGAGATACTGTTAGGATTAGGCTCAATGTTGGGATTAGTGTTAAGCTTAGGTTTAATGTTTGAGATACTGTTAGGATTAGGCTCAATGTTGGGATTAGTGTTAAGCTCAGGTTTAATGTTTGGGATAGTGCTGGGGTTAGGATTAGGCTCAATGTTGGGATTAGTGTTAAGCACAGGTTTAATGTTTGAGATACTGTTAGGATTAGGCTCAATGTTGGGATTAGTGTTAAGCACATGTTTAATGTTTGAGATACTGTTAGGATTAGGCTCAATGTTGGGATTAGTGTTAAGCTCGGGTTTAATGTTTGGGATAGTGCTGGGGTTAGGATTAGGCTCAATGTTGGGATTAGTGTTAAGCTCAGGTTTAATGTTTGGGATAGTGCTGGGGTTAGGATTAGGCTCAATGTTGGGATTAGTGTTAAGCTCAGGTTTAATGTTTGGGATAGTGCTGGGGTTAGGATTAGGCTCAATGTTGGGATTAGTGTTAAGCTCAGGTTTAATGTTTGAGATACTGTTAGGATTAGGCTCAATGTTGGGATTAGTGTTAAGCACATGTTTAATGTTTGAGATACTGTTAGGATTAGGCTCAATGTTGGGATTAGTGTTAAGCTCGGGTTTAATGTTTGGGATAGTGCTGGGGTTAGGATTAGGCTCAATGTTGGGATTAGTGTTAAGCTCAGGTTTAATGTTTGGGATACTGTTAGGATTAGGCTCAATGTTGGGATTAGTGTTAAGCTCAGGTTTAATGTTTGAGATACTGTTAGGATTAGGCTCAATGTTGGGATTAGTGTTAAGCTCAGGTTTAATGTTTGAGATACTGTTAGGGTTAGGCTCAATGTTGCGATTAGTGTTAAGCTCAGGTTTAATGTTTGAGATACTGTTAGGATTAGGCTCAATGTTGGGATTAGTGTTAAGCTCAGGTTTAATGTTTGGGATAGTGCTGGGGTTAGGATTAGGCTCAATGTTGGGATTAGTGTTAAGCTAAGGTTTAATGTTTGGGATAGTGCTGGGGTTAGGATTAGGCTCAATGTTGGGATTAGTGTTAAGCTCAGGTTTAATGTTTGGGATACTGTTAGGATTAGGCTCAATGTTGGGATTAGTGTTAAGCTCAGGTTTAATGTTTGAGATACTGTTAGGATTAGGCTCAATGTTGGGATTAGTGTTAAGCTCAGGTTTAATGTTTGAGATACTGTTAGGATTAGGCTCAATGTTGGGATTAGTGTTAAGCACAGGTTTAATGTTTGAGATACTGTTAGGATTAGGCTCAATGTTGGGATTAGTGCTAATCTCACGTTTAATATTTGAGATACTGTTAGGATTAGGCTCAATATTGGGATTAGTGCTAGTCTCACGTTTAATGTTTGAGATACTGTTAGGATTAGGCTCAATATTGGGATTAGTGCTAGTCTCACGTTTAATGTTTGAGATACTGTTAGGATTAGGCTCAATGTTGGGATTAGTGCTAATCTCACGTTTAATGTTTGAGATACTGTTAGGGTTAGGCTCAATGTTGGGATTTGTGCTAAGCGCAGGGTTAAGAATGGTTGCTGATGTCCTTAAAATAATAATTAGAGAAAGTTTGAAATATTACGGCATTTTTAAGAACAAACATGTTTTGTTGCATGAACTTAGTGAAAAATGATCCCTCTAGTTTTGCGATGTTGATCAATTTGTTTTAACTTTGAGCTGTACCAGACAACAGCTTGTTGTGTGAGACACATCTTATGTCCGATGGCGGTTTCTCTTACTGGCTAAATGACAGGACCCAAGTTTGGATGCTTCTGGAAAATAAACTGTCTGATATAACTTGGGTTGTTTTTACTTGTCTGTCTGATGTAATGTTCCTGACAGACAGACAGAGAGACAGACAGACAGACAGACAGAGAGACAGACAGACAGACAGACAGACAATCAGACCTACCTAATTTACTTGTCTGTCTGATGTAATGTTCCTGACTGTCAGACAGACCTGTCTGATTTAGATCATGTCCATCCTCCTAACCCCCATGCGTCGAATATTTAATTTAGTATCACAAGATATTGGACAAAGGAAGAAAAGTTCCGCAGCCAAATCTCACTATAATTATTGTTGAGTTTTCTCCCCTGTATTGGACTGAAAAAATAAATTTAAAAATGTTCACAAGATGTTACACAATATTCCCAGAAAAGATATAAAAGCCCATGTGCGCATGGTTGTAGGAAGAAAAGTCACAGGAAAAAAAGAAAAAAAAGTCACAGGAAAATAAGTCACAAATATATATTTGCATGAAATTTGTAAATACTTTTATGTATTAAATATTTAGAAAGTGCAAATTAACTAAGGATTAACTAAATGTAATGTGTGTAGGTTGTATACGCATAGTAATTTTTATAATTCATCTAAAAAAATTTAGTATGAAGTATGTAGATTGTAATTATGGTAAACATAAGATTAATAGCATTTAATAGAATGCTCCAAAGTTCACGGTTTTCATCGTGTTTTTTTTTTTAAAATACCAACATTAAATTACCGTGAAATGGTAAGCTCCTCTGACTTGCTGCCCTCAACTCATCGCAACAACAATTATGCTTAGTTCAACCACCTTTACTGCCCATATTTATCACGCTCAGGGGCGTAGCGAGGGGGGGGGGGGGGGCGGGGGGTGCGGACCGCACCGGGTGACACCATTTAGGGGGGTGACACCAAGGCAAAAAATAGCAAAATATATAGAGAAAAACTCGAGGGGGGGTGCAAATCGAAAGTTTGAGGGGGGGTGCAAATCGAAAACTCGAGGGGGGGGTGCAAATCGAAAGTTTGAGGGGGGGGGGGGGGTGCAAATCGAAAATTTGAAAGTTTGTCCCTGGGAAGGGTCTCTATGCCTCTGGGGGGGGGGGGGTGACACCATTAAGTGCCGCACCGGGTGACACCCGACCTCGCTACGCCACTGATCACGCTCATTACATAACAAAACTTAGGATTAAAACAGAAAGCCGACAATGTTCAAAGGCTGTCATTGACGCAAAACGCCAGCAACACAAAATATGTTCGGGCAATGCCTATCTGAGGAGAGGCCGACTAGAGAACAGCCTACGGCAAAACATATGCAAAACACGATGTGCCTAAGTTTCTTTTATAATTAACCTTTCTACCGCGTATTTAACTAAATACGTTACAAAAGTTGAGATTGTTGTGTAAATTATCTTAGAGTATTTTTACTTACAATTGTTATAAATCATAATGCTTTTGACGTCTATAAATAATGTATGCTATAAAAAAATACAACACACAACAATAAACATACAAAATTGTACAATTCTTAACAAATAAATCAAAATATTTCTAAAAAGACTTTTGTGACTTTTTTCTGTGACTTTATTTCTGTGACTTTTTTTCCGATAAAATTTTTCCAGTGACTTTTTTTCTGTGACTTTTTTTCTTAGCAAAAACTGTGACTTTTTTCTGTGTTCTTTCTACTTGTGACTTTTTTTCCATTCACCGTGCGCACCCCCCCCCCCCCCCTCTCTGCAAGATTTTTGAGGCGATATGATCAGTATGTTCAGCGATTATTATATGGAGAACTTAAAGATACGGACTTTTGTTGAAAATAATATAGTGGATGTTATAAATGTATAAACTAAATTTTATTCAAAGCAGAAAAATAAATATACAAGCATATTCGAATGTAGAAACACATTTTTAACTATACAGCCGGAAAAGTGTTTATTGTCGTGACAAGAACGCAATAAACAATGACGTCACATGCCACATGTTTAAACTATGAAAGAACACAAAACTAATGGCATCATCTTCCAATTTTAGAATATAAAGAAATGAACTATTTCATTCAAATTTGATTTAGATCTACTTATCAAGACGTACTCTATGAAATGTATACAATTTTCTCGGCCACAAATACACATTTTAAAAATTACAAGAATACCATATAACAGCCGGGGTTTTACCGGAAATATTTAAGTCGCTTAATCAGTGTGCATTTAATATGGTGGTGTGTTGATTAATAATGTAAATGATTAGGTTTTTCTTTTAGGTATTGGTAGACTATGTTATTTTAAATGTGTCGGATTTTTAGCTATTTTTTTTAGTTATTTCTTTGCTTTGTCACTAATATCGTTCAACGTATTGTAAAGCGCATTGCGTTTTCACCAATAACTATTTTATAAAATATTTTTCTCAAACAAGTAAAACATTAAAAATTTAAAGTCCTATAATTCACGTATAACGGGTACCGATGGCTAGTGATATGGTAACTAGCACATAGCTGCACGAGATGTTAGTGTAAAAATAATAACCTGCTGTGTACTTCAAGATATTATAAAATACATCCAGTTGTTTCATGTTATCATGGAATGAAATAATTGTCTGAATTTTTTATTTAACTTAATTGATTATCATTATAAAATATAGGCCTGATTTGATTTTAAAAAGCTCACAGACACCCTAAATGTGATAATGATATTCTAATTCGAACTTTGGCCGTTTGCCGTTAGGCAGTTTGCAATCTGGTTGGCCAGTTAACGAAGTGGCCGATTTCAGGCTTTGGCCTATATATATATATATATATATATATATATATATATATATATATATATATATATAGGCCTATATATATAATTATTTAAAAAAAAGAGTAATTTCTCCCTCTGTAGAAAACACCATGTCGGTCGCGGGAATGTATGCCGAACCTAAAGGTCACCTGGTTATTGTTCTATGTATTCGTCATTAGCTTGATGCTTGGGGGCCTGACGTCAAACTCTTGGACAAATCTATCTTTTCTTGCCCATAATTCCATCCTGATCCCCCGAATGGAACAATGCAAGAGCTGGCGGAAGTGACGCTAACACCGTCAGGAATGTGGCACGCGCCACCTCGAGGCGGCAACAGCCCCTAATGTCTTGTTGCTAGGCAATCACCAGTGCCGAGCTTCCTTGACAAGCTCCCCGGAGATCAATCAGGTCTGGCATATAATCTAAAATCAATGTCTTAATCTTATATCGAACTTTTATAATCCTCAGTCGATCCGCCGCCATGTTTGTGTAAATCAATCTTTTTTTCTGTCTACTTCAGGTAGACGAAAACCTTCTAACGGCGGTCAACCTGACCTCCTTATAAGAGATTGTGTGCCGACTCAGCTCACAAGGCGTACCCAGCATAACAAAAGTCACCGAACCTTGAAATATCAAGGTTTCTGAAATATGCTGAAACTGATACACTAGTTGAGATGGTCTAAAATCAATCACACAGACAGAAAAATGTGAATCAATCACACAGACAGAAAAATGTGAATCAGTCACAAAGACAGAAAAATGTGAATCAAACACACAGACAGAAAAATGTGAATCAGTCACAAAGACAGAAAAATGTGAATCAATCACAGGAAAATTTGATATAATACTTATATACGAAATTTCATCAACCTAGCTGTAATGGTAATCAAGTTATCTTGTTCACAGACATGCACATACATACACACGCACCCAGACATATGGACACAATTACAAAACTATATTTTTCCGACTCAGTGAGGTGTAAAACGTCGAGTTTGTGAAAATCTGGATTTCGATTTTTTGCACGGTTACAATACTTCCTCTATACTTGGTATACTATTAAGGATTGGTGTGAACGAATATTAGTGCGAAAGTTAATGGCGCATTGAATAGTTACGCGATTCGCAAGAATGTGACGTTTTAGTGTAGGTTCGTTGTTGTCGGGGAAAGAAGTTAAAAAGTACACTTGTTGTTGTTGTGTTAGAGTGATGTCGTAATGTAGTTCAGTCTTAGTATTGTTCGTTCAAGTCGTCCTTTGTAATGCAATAAATAGTCAAATTAATGTCATCCTGTCGAATCATTTGTATACCTTGATGTCGTCGTGCTTTGGGATGAACTACTGAATGGCTAGACAGAATATAATGGTAGTGTCGACCCTCTCATGTAGAGCCCTACATTACATAGTTAATCAGTTTAACAATGTAGATGCCATTGGAGTAGGTGTAAGTCAAAGCCTGATGTTATTATAAAACTTCATCTCTCTTTGTTTCTTTATAAAAAGGTTATGGAAGGTTTTTTAAGGTATTTTACTGAAATGTTTACCGGACGCATGCAAAATGATATAAACAGCCATAGCTCTTCTGTTATATAGGCTAGATGCAGTGTTTCTTCCAGACTCCCCCCCCCCCCCTTAAACTTTCGATTTGTACCCCTCTCTCAAACTTTTGATTTGCACACCCCCCCATAGAGGGGGGGGGGGGGGTTATGCCTACGCCACTGCAAATAAGTATTCGCAAAGCTTTAGAGTAGCGTCCCTTTTGTTTACATGTTGTCATTACCCTTCAAACAAAAGTCTGTTTTAGTTATATTGAGATTAAAGAATGTAAATAAATAGTACACACAATTCTGTAGAATAGGAACGATTGGGAGGGAAGTGACATTTAGCGCAGGAAATTTAGAGGATAGGTAGGGTATAATAAATGGTGGGGTTAGGACAGTTAAGGGGTCCATTCTCTAATAGGCAGTCTATGTCTCTTTCGTACTTTCGTGTTGGTTTATTGTCGAACCTGTCCTCATCTCACATCACAACAGTTGGCTGACGCTTACCGTGTAATGTTAAAATAAATAGCATGTAATTGAGTTAGTTCGAAGTGAGTTTTCATACAAGCCCAACGCACTAATTAAGGTTGTCGCAAAATGTAACATATTTGTAACATATGTCAATGATGTCAATGAATTTTCATTAAAAAAAAAGATGTTTAGTACAGTTTAAGAAACTTACGAACTTCGCCGATACTTTTTTTGGTGAGTAGGTGAGTAAGTGGGTAGGTGGGTAAGTGGGTAAGTGGGTAGGTGGGTAAGTGGGTAGGTAGGTAGGTAGGTAGGTGGGTAGGTGGGTAGATAGGTAAGTGGGTAGGTGGGTAGTAGGTAGGTAGGTAGGTGCGTCATGATGTGAAAAAAATATTAAATACATAATTGTTATTTTGGTGCGAATGAATGTTGTTACGAGAGATATGACGAATGCATATTTGATGACGCGGATGAAAGAGAGTGAAGTTTTGCCATAGGAACGGGTTGTTATGGTATGCAAGCTAGGTAGTTCGGACTAGGGAGAATGTGAACGATACTTCGTGTAATGTCGATAGTTTTATGTTTATTTATACGAGAATAGTAGTTGAATAATTATTGACCAAGAAAATAATAGGCATTGTGTAAAGCGATTATCGCCTGTATCATGGTGATAGAAATGCACATGGTAGTGGTACGCTTTAAATGGTAGTAGATCACGTGATCAAACACGACACTCTCACAGCAGCCCTAACAGTCATGTATAAATGTGCCATCTAGTCCATATAGGTCTTTGTGCTAAATTTCTCTTTTGCACATTTTTAGTTGTATTTTTTCTGGTTGCGCATTTTTGTGTTTGCGCTTTTTTGTGTTTGCGCTTTTTTCCGTTTGCGCTTTTTTCTGTGTGCGCTTTTTTTCTCTTTGCGCTTTTTTCCGTTTGCGCTTTTTTCCGTTTATGCTTTTTTTCTGTGTGCGCTTTTTTCTTTTTGCGCTTTTTTTCCGTTTGCGCTTTTTTCTGTTTGAGATTTTTTCCGTTTGCGCTTTTTTCCGTTTGCGCTTTTTTCCGTGTGCGCTTTTTTCTGTTTGCGCTTTTTTCCGTTTGCGCTTTTTTTCTGTTTGCGCTTTTTTCTGTGTGCGCTTTTTTCTCTTTGCGCTTTTTTCTGTTTGCGCTTTTTTCTCTTTGCGCTTTTTTCCGTGTGCGCTTTTTTCTCTTTGCGCTTTTTTCCGTTTGCGCTTTTTTCTGTTTGCGCTTTTTTCTGTGTGCGCTTTTTTCTCTTTGCGCTTTTTTCTGTTTGCGCTTTTTTCTCTTTGCGCTTTTTTCTGTGTGCGCTTTTTTCTCTTTGCGCTTTTTTTTCCTTTTGCGCTTTTTTCCGTTGCGCTTTTTGTTTTGCGCTTTTTTCCGTTGCGCTTTTTCCCGTTGCGGTTCTTTCCGGCCACCATTGTAATCGTGCACAAAAAATAATCGAGATTGTTACAAATCAACGTTTTATACCTCCCTGAGTCCGAAAAACATAGTTTTGCAGTTTTGTCCGTATGTCTGTGTGTGCGTGTATGTGTGTGTATGTATGTGTGTCTGTGAGCATGCTAACTTGAGTACCGTTACAGCTAGGTTGATGAAATTTCATATATAAGAATTATATAAAATTTATAGTTCTGTATAAACTTTTCCGCGATTTCCGGTAACCGGAAGTAGAACTACTTTAAATTTTTCAAAATCCTATATCTTGAGTAATGTTTTAGATAGATAAATGAAATTTCACGTGTAAGTAAAAGATCTAATTCTCTGCCTAGTGTTAAATTTTGAGTTATTTCCTTTGACCGGAAGTAGTAATTTACACTATTTCCGATTTCTCAAAAACCGCATGTGAATTTATCAAGTACTAATAATATTCCGCACTATTATACACATAATGTTTGGCTTTTATTTGGTGCGCAATTCTTTTTCTACGAGATTCTATTATATTTTTAAAAGTTTAAGTAATTAAAAATGTATTAAAAAATCATGTCTATATCCCGAGTTGCCATCCCCCATAGTGTTATATAAGAATATTCTAGAAAGTTTAGGTGAGATCACTCTCGGTTTATTTCTTTTATCATTCACTGTTTATTTCTTATCTCTGCAGGATTGAGCACAGTACCCAACTAAATGGAATCTACATTGGCGTAGAGAGAAATATCAAACAAAAGCCTGTCTCGACATTGGGAGGGCATTCCGTTGACGCTAGTTTGGTTCGATGATCAAATTCCACTCTACATAGGTTTTTTTTCTATTCAAGCTTAGTACATTTAAAAAAAATAAGCTTTCAAATATTGCAAATGTAATATAATCAAAGGAACAACAAAAAAAAAAAAAAAAAAAGCAGTTTGTCAATGTAAAATCCTTTCGAGCTAATTTGGGCTGAACGCCGACAGGAAACTACATTGAATTCTTTTTGGCTGTTGCATGAAAGACGTTACAATTTCAAACAATCGGTAGATGGCTTTCATACACTTTCTGTGAATGTGTTTTTGTTTTCCGCGCTGTTCTGAACACTCCAGACTTGTCGGTCTCTTGGTTGCTATGTTGCTAAATTTATTAAAAAAAATGTTTAAAAAATTAAACAGTTTATTGCATACAAATTGGAGCCAATTTTGTTCGTTCAAATATTTATTTGGTTTTGTTGTTTGTAATTAAACTGGCCAAAATTTATCCGGTTACTTTAATTCAATACCGACTTCATCGATTGTGTGTTTGTAAAATGTCGCCTGTCTAGGGAGAAATCTCGAGACTCTTTGACTATAATCCATTCCCAGCAGCCGACATATGCTGGCGCACCATTCGGTGATTGTAAATAATAGAGTCCTTGCAAACACGCGACCTAAATCACGTGATACCTACGTCCGCCGCCACGCTGGTGTACACCAGACGTAAACACAATCAGCTGTTCACCAGCGCTGGACGTGTTCACCAGCGCTGGACGCGTTCACTGTATGTAAAGAACCGCACCCGCGGAAAAGGAAAAATACGTTAAAAAACTTGAACTCTTAGGAATTGAAGATCCTTATACTGTTATTGACAGTTTCGTGGATAATATAAATATGTGGCCGAAATTTCTAAATAAAAATACCCACACACACTTTAAACCACCCCACCCACAGATTAAACCCCCACACACATTAAACCCCACCCACACTTTAAACCACCCCACCCACACTTTAAACCACCCCACCCACACATTAAATCACCGCACCCACAGATTAAACCCCCACACACATTAAACCCCACCCACACTTTAAACCACCCCACCCACAGATTAAACCCCCACACACATTAAACCCCACCCACACTTTAAACCACCTCACCCACAGATTAAACCCCACCCACACATTAAACCCCACCCATACAATAAACCCCACCCACACATTAAACCACCTCAACAACAAATTAAACCACACCACCCACAGATTAAACCCCACCCATACATTAAACCCCACCC